ATCGGTGGCCTTCCAGAGGTTTTGAGGGCCCAGAGGTTCAGCCAGAGTGGCAGGGGCTGGAGAGGAACTGGAAGTGGTGTACTCAGGGGCCCTGGCCGGGCCCCGTGTGGTCCTTCGAGTACTGCATATTCTCCGTGCTTCTTCTGAGGGAGCCTCACTCGTTTTCTGTCTAACGGAGATTTGGGGGCTCACTACGATGTCGCTTCCTGGGCCACTCGACAGCTGTTGCCTGTTCCTGCTCTGAAGATTTGTTTTGACGCTCCAACCCACCGAGTGCCTGCCTTTGCGGCACTTGCCGTCCATTGCATTCAGTAATAAGCCGAGAGCGAAACTCTTGTGATACTGTATTTGACTTTTTACTGGACTATTTTCAATTCCGGGCACCTTGTAAAGAGGGAGGTGGGGAGCGCCCCGAGACGCCCCCGGAGACGCCCAGGGCCGTGTGACTTAGCAGCAGAAAATGGCGCGTGTGCTTCGCCTGGAGCCGCGATGGCCCGTTTTGAGCGTTTGCCTGTGGCTCTGGGGGCCCTGTCACTCTTGCTTGGTGCCCCCGCCTCAGTCCCGTGGCCCACTCCCTTGTCCGGGTCTCCCCTGCTTAGCCTGTGCCCCCGAGCCCAGTCTTCTCTAGGCAACACGGGGCAGTCTCGGCCCACCTCCTACGCTGGTGCGGTCAAGGGTGTGCGTCGCGCACTCGGCCTGCTGCCCACCATCGCAGGCCAGAGCTGACTGGGGGTCTCCGTGAGGGCCCCGCGGTGCTGTGTCAGGCTGCCAGTGCCAACGCAATGAGCCCGAGTTTCCGATGGTGCCCAGCACCTGTTCCTCCCCACCCGGGCGGGAAGCCGCGTGTCCGGCGCCGCCAGCTGCTCTCTCGGTCAGTCTGTCCAGCCTCAGGTCCGCACCGCTGCTCAAGTGTGAGACAGCGCCGCCTGTGGGCAGCTGGAGGGCTGCAGGGCCATCTGTCTGCTGGCAGACTCCATTGCCTTGTCAGGTCAGCCTGGGAGGACAGTGGGGTTCCGTGGGGGCGGGTCAGAGCAGAAGGGGACGCATGGACACATTCTCGCCTGGAAGAAGATGTGGCATGAACAGATCCCCTCTCTCTATCTGGAGCTAATGAATGTCTTGGGAGGAGCGTGCATACGCAGACTGGCCCGGAAGGGCCGCTTTCCCAGCAGCCGAGGGCCGGGCCGGTGCAGCAGGCCTCTGGACCTCCTCTCGAAGGACAGCGAGGCCTGGAGGGGCGCGAGTCTGTAGCAGAAGAGACCGGCCTTCCAAGGTCCCCATTCGGCTCGTGGAGGGTGACCCTGAGGCCAGATGTTTCTGCAGTCGTTCCAGTCTCGCTTGCTGGACTACGCTCGGTCCTGTGTGACGACTGGGTGGGACGTGGCGCAGGGGTGCCTGTGAGATGGCCACCGCCACACGGCCCACTGGGCGCTGGGGTCGCAGGCCCCGCAAAATGGCTCTACGTGCGGAACACGTGGCACCCTGCCAAGATTCAGAGAAGATAAACGATCCTGCTTCTGTTTTACAATCATTACATGTTATGTTGGCAATATTTTCAAGAGTGGGTCAGTTTAATACCATTCATTGGTCATTAAACAGAGTTTCACCTGTTTCTTGATTGCTGTGTTTAGAGTGGCTACTAGCGGGTTTTGAGTCAAGTGTGTATTTCTTTGGCTGTTGTTATGGAGTGCGTGTCTCCGCTGGACAGTGATGCCCCAGAGAGTTCTTTTCAGTGGCCGGGCTGAGGTTTATTTTACTCTGACTGTATCATTAGAAGTTTACGGAGGTGGACAAAGTGCTGGGGATGGCACCTCATGGGCTCGGGAAATCCTTCTGGACCTGGTGGCCGAGGCCCCAAGACCAAGCGCTGCCCCAGGGTGCCTGCGGGAGGCTCCTCTGGGCGGCGCACTCTAGCCTCGGTCCGTGGCCGGCGGCTCAGCCTGCCTTCGTGTGCCTCCATCGCATGCTTTTGGACTGTTGCGTTTGTATGGTATTCTGCCGCTAACTTGGGATGTTCTCCCAACTTCTAGAGGAGAACAAAATAACACAGAAAGAAAATGAACATGTATGATGTAGAACATTCCAGAAGCCTTGATAGTGTTTGCAGTCTCTCAGCCCCACCAGCGCATAGGAGAGGCAGAAAGCTGCAACATTTGTCGGGCGCACCCCTCCCAGCGGGCGCACCGTGCCTGCCCTGTCTGGGAGCCTGAGGGATGGCTGGGAGTAGGGCCCCGCGGGACTGAGCTGGTCTTCCGAAATGCCTCCTGGACATTTTCTTCTTTGCTGGAGGAACATCTAGCCAAGAACATCATGCAAGTCTTGCTTCTGGGCCTGGCCCACCGTGCCTGGCGGCCAACCCCCACTGTGCATGTTAGGCCGAAGTGGTCTTGGTCAGGACAGACGGCGTGGGAAGTCTCCAGAGCCTGCTGGACTGCCTGCCTGCCTGCCTGCCACGGCGGCGGCTGTCACGCGAGCTGGCCCTTGGCCTCCTGAGCCCTGCTCTGCTTGTGATCTCGGTCAAGTTCTAGATGCCCGTTTCTCTCTCCAGCCTGGCCCTTTTCCAGTCGTCCCTTGACGAGGTTAGCTCGGTGAAGGCCGCCTGGCCTGGCCTCACATGTGTGAGGGTAAAGCCACCAACGTCGGTGACTTGTTAGAGCCGCAAAGGGAAGCTAACACGCTGTGAAGCGAGGAGCCGCAGCAGGGCGGATGACCCCGCGAGCGCCTCCCGGGCCCCCTGCTGAAGAGCTTTATCAGCAAGTCAGTGCAGACTGCTGTCAGGTGAGAGGCCCCAGCGCATGCCCTGTGCGCTGCCGAGACCACGCCAGGTGCCCACGGCCTCCCGGGGTGAGAGGCCTCGCTCGTGGCGTGTGCGGGTCCGAGAGGCCTGCCTTCCACCGCCTCGCTTCCAGGTTCCCCCGGCTTCAGCGGCAAGCTGGAGGACATGAGTTTGCTTGTTTCAGAGGCATGTGGAAGCGCCCTTATAATCGCCCCTGCATTCTTTACTGACTGGCACACAACGAATATGAACTCAGTGGCTTGACGACGTTCTGAGTGGTGAAGTGCGTGAGTGCGGCTCGGCAGCAGTCCCACCCATGTGTTAGTGTGCCAGCTGCGGCATCGCAGGACCCCGGACTTGGTGCTCTAGGTGCGTTCTGCCATCCACGGCCTAATGACAAAGCACCTGCTTGGTGTGAGAGGACGTCAGTGGAATCGTGTGCATAGTGAGAAGAGAAAGGGGGTAGCTGCCCAGTGAAGCAGCCAGGGTTGCCCATCCCCTTGCGGGTAAACGGTCGGCCAAACAGGGCTGGCCCAAAGCAGGGCCCCTGAGGTCCCCAAAGTAGCCACGCGCCAAAGGCCCCTTCCGCGGGGCCCCCAGGAGGGGGGCAGGGCCAGCACGCCTGGGGAGAGGGGCCCAGCCACAGTGCGAGTCAGGTAACGCCGCCACGGCCGGCCCCACCCTGCGCCCCAGTCTGCCAGCACATCTCTACGAGTCTGATGGCACGCGTCTGCCTCCCTGCCCCCGGCCCTGTGCGAGCCCGAGGCCCCTTCACATGTCTGCTTGCCCTTCGTGCCTGCTCCGGGTGTCTCGCCGCCTTCGCAGGTGGGGCAGGGGCCCTGGACGCCGCTTCCGCGGAGCTCACGCGGCTGGCTACTGCGCACCGGGATTGTGGGAGCGCGGGTGTGGACGAGCTGGCTCGACTGGCGCAGTCTCCTGTGCCGGCCCTTCGGGGCTCGACTCTCGCACCCTGCCGGGACCTGCGTGGCTTGGGACCGGCCGCTGTCACCCTGCGCTGGGCCGGCTCCGCGCAGCTGTGGCTTCTGGCTGCATCTTATCTGGGAGGCTGTCGCGAGGCCTGCGTGGCCTTCTCTGTATCCCGCTTGCGTGAGCTTCTCTGTATCCCGTTTGGACCCCCGCTCTGGCTTCTTAGGCCCGTCGGCTTCGCGCACAGAAGCCCTGCAGACGCGCCGACTCTGACGCTCCCAGCTGCCGACTGCTGCCGGGAGGGGCAGGCTGTGGCGTCCAGCCAGTCGGGGGACCCCACGGGTTCACAGTTCACACTGGCCTTGGGGCTGCGCCTGGCTGCGGGGTCACTGTTCTGGGGCCGGGGCCTTGCCCTGAAGACGTGGGAGGGTTGAGCTGGTGACAGCAGGTTAGCGGGGCCCCACGGGCGCTGGTCAGTTGCATTTATAGAGCACTGCGGGCATTGTCCCACAGACTGCCCGGCTGTGGCTGCCCGACCCCAGCTGTCTTGTCAGTGAGCGTCCTCCTGGGGTGCTGGGGGGGTTCTACTTGAAGGAAAGCTTCTCCCTTATCTAGCTCCGGGCAAGTCCAGGCTTCCTGCATCCGATTCACGTGTAGCAGAGAGGGCTGTAGGCAAAGGCTTTTGTTGTCTTCCCCAGAACACAGAACGGGGCTTTGGCTCTAGGGAGTCGGCTCCGGAAGGCAGGCCGCGTCTCCGAGGTGTCTCCTCGAGCCTTCCCGCCGGCTTCTTGCCTTCGGGGGTTACTGCTGAACTTAGAGGAAACCTTGCAGATGCATTTGAGAGGTTGAAGCCGGAAGGATCACAAACTGAAAGTTGGGGGGGCCGGCATGTGCCTGGGAAACCAGAAGCAAACAGAGGCGCGCGCCCAGCTTTGCGGAAGAACCACAGGCCATGCGCTGCCTCGTTAAACACGAAGGCGCTTGCTTGACCTGTTTTGTAACCGTCAGTGTCTGTTCTCGTTGGTATTTAAAGTTGCCCTTTGAGACAGTAACGCTTTTAACTGTGAGTTTCCCGATACTGTTACTGGCTACTGGTTCGGCAAAGGTGGCGAATCGAATGGATGCTCCGACGAGGAGTTGAAGCAAAAGCAGGTGCTTCACCAAGGTCCTGTGTGACTTTACCTTACAGCTGAGTTCTGGTTACCTTACAGCTGAGTTCTGGAGTCGGTTGCAGCACATGAGTGAAGTAGACCTCATCCTCAAAGGTGCTTTCCTGTTTTTATTTTGCAGGATAACGAAACCATTGACCTTTGCTGATTGTGTTGGGGACGAACTTCCTTTGGGATGGGAAACTGTCTACGACAAACAAATTGGAGTTTATTACATGGACCACATAAATAGTGAGTAGCGTCACATCTGAATTACGGATCGATTGAATTTTCATGTTGATCTCCAAGAAGTCGAAAACCATAGAGCAAAGCGGTCGGCTCTTCGCTGCAGCAGTTAACTGGATTTTGCGACCATAGCCTGCATTTTTCCTTAGCGGAGTCTTCCGAAAGGAAATTCAGGAAAGCATTTACCTCGCTGTGTCTTGCTCAGGACTGCGTGGAATACGTGGCCTGGAGGCTGTTGATATGTCAATAAGGAACACGTTTCTTGGGCAGTGTAGACATAGAAGAAAATACCTCTCGTAATGAGAAGGTTGTTTCTTGCAAAGTGCAGCTTTGAACGTCTTGGAGTAATAAATGCCCGCGCGTTACCCTAACCTCTTTCCAGCTTGTACACCGAATCTTGGCCTTGGCACACCAGGCGTGTGGGGTCTTTGTGGCGGGAGGTGCTGTGAAAGCCACAGTTCTGCTAACTCCTTGGGGGCGCGGCCAGGCTCCTTGCTGCTTTCTTTCAGCGCTGGTTCTCAGCCTGGACCAGCTTTGCCTCCCAGGCACGGGGGTGGAGGTGTGCGGCAGGCCCCAGGGCAGAGACCGGCATGCCGCTGACACCCCACAAAGCACAGGGCACAGGGCGTGTCACGTGGAAAGTGAGCCCACCCCGTGTGGCCATCAGGCCGAGGGGGACACTTCCATTTCTTTCTGGGTCTGCCCTCCATGCCTCACTGGTGGCTTTCTGTTTCTTCGCCAGCCTTCCTCTGTCAGCCAGCTGGAGACCCTTGCTCCCTCAGAGTCACGCTTTCTGGCCGGTTTTCATGCTAGCTTCCCCCGCGTTTCTGTCTCTTTACTGCCGCGGGCCTTCGAGGTGGACCTGCCACCCCCTGGACCAGGGACAGTGCGAGGCCTCGGGCCTGGTGCTGTGTGTGTGAGTTTGTTTCAGGTGTCTGACCATCGGGGCTGGCAGGCCGTTCCCATGGGCGCGACCCCTCTGGCAGGGAGGGCCGTGGCCCGGGCCGGGCACGCGTGTACCAACTCTATGGCCAGGTGCGGCCTTCCCAGGCCCAGCTGTTGTTGCTGTGCGCCCTAGGCATCTGCCTTACACAACGCTTCTGGAAAGCCTGCTGCTGAGCCCAGGACCCGTTCCGGCTCGTCTCTCTCGTAAACCCTACCTGTTCATCCTCCGTGCCCCCCCGCTTCAGGGGATCCTGCGGCCTGCCGGCTTGCTGAGTCACCACCAGCATTGTGGAGTGCCTCTCTGTGCTGGCCACTATCTTTAGGCCCTGGGGACACAGGAGAGTGAGCCCCAGTCTCCACCCTCCAGGTTTCCACACCAGACTCAGAAATGCCTGTGAGCCCTAAACTGAGTGGTTCCGAGCATGGGCGTCACTGGGAGCCCAGAGCACTGTGGGCCACCGTGCCTGACAGAGGAGAGCCCGCGAACGGGGCGGGGTTGGGGTGGGGGGACACGACTTCACGGCACACCACCCCCTCTCTCTGAGACCTTTGGGGAGCCCTAACTCTGTGTGTTTGTTTGTTTGCAGGGTGAGAAAGTTTATTTTTGTTAAAATAATTTGTACATGGGCCAGAAGACTTGCTCCCGAGACCCCGCTTCTGACAGCTCAGCTTTAAATCTTGCAGGGACTGCGGCCAAGGAGCACAGCGTTAAAGTCGAGGCTGCGCGGCTCATGGCCAGGGGCTGGGCTGTGCTGGACAGAGTGCGGCCAGCGTGGGCCCTGAGGTGTGCTGTGGGTGCTGCAGGCCGGGCGCTGGCACTGTGTCCACCCGCCAGGGCCACGGAGTCTGAGACCTGCTTTTGTTGTGTGTGTGCTGAAATAGACACAACGTGAAATGCAGCCTTTTCATCATTTTGAAGTGAAATTCACAGATGATGAAATTCGTCGTTTTCAAGTATTCAGCTCACTGGCCTGTGTGGCACTCACAGTGCTGTGCGCCCACCTCCTCTCTCTTGCCCCAGAACATCCTGTCAGCCGCAGGTGAAGCCTTGAACCCATTAGCAGTCACTCACCACCCCCCGGGGCTCCCAGCCCCGGGCAGTCCCCTGGACGCCTGCGCAGAACAGTTCCTCTCCGCGGACTGCACAGCCTGTGACCTGTTCGCCTTCTCAGCCTCAGCCTGTGCGGGCGCGCGTGGCTGCTTTGTTCCTGGTTAGGCCTGAATGTGCCCTTGCGTGCACGGCCCCGCTTTATTTCACCATCCGTCAGTGCCCCGGCCCCAGGGTGTTTCACCTCTTGGCTGTAGGGAGGAATGCAGCCCGAGCGCACCGACAAGGTGTACCTCGTCGCGACTGTGCTGCAGATTGACCGGCGGGCCCTGCAGCCTGGGCTCTCTGCAAGGCGCTTCTGTGATATCGCCAGGAAGGGGCTGCAGTGCAGAGGTGGCCTTCCCCGAGTCTGGGGGTCCTGTCCTCCCGCGGGCTCTGGCTCTGCCCGCTGAGTCAGGATCTCACTGTGGGGAGCACGTCTACAGCGCCCGCCGGGGCCTCGCGCTCGCCTGCGCGCGCCCTTACTGCTGGCCCTGGCGTCGGGCTGGGGGGCCCGAGGATGTGCAGCCCACCGGGCCTGGGCCGCCTTCTAGGGGCTCAGGGTTTGGGTGGGAAGCAGAGCGCGAAGATTGGGCTCCAGCTGGCGAGAAGAGCGGCCCGAGCCGTGGCGCAGAGCGGGCAGAGCGGGCAGAGCGGGCAGAGCGGGCAGAGCGGGCAGAGCGACCAGGTGCCTCTGCCGGAGGCGTGGAAGACGCCGGGCCCCCGCAGGCTCCAGACAGAGCGGCGGCATTTCCGAAGCGGGGCTTCGGTGCGGCCACGTGTTCAGAGGACGCTGGTGGTGAAAGGAGCAAACTAGACGCGCGGTGCCAGGGCCGCGCCGGGCCTCGCGGGCACGCGGAGCCGGGCTTGCTCCCTGAGGAGCCGAGGGAAGAGGTCGGCGGAGCAGGCGGCCACTGGCGCGCGCCAGGGTGGGCTGGGGGGCACAAGTCAGGAAGCCGGCGCCTGTGCGGGTCGGGATGATCTAAGGCGAGCGGGAGACGAGCACGGTGTCCTCACTCAGGTCTCGGTCAGGAATCACCAGTGCTTGGTGACCCCCTGGCATCTGGGCCGGGCGAACAGCGGAGGGTCCTCGGAGGCTCTGCCCCTGGCGGCCCAGAGGGTGGATCGGGGGGGTGCTCGTGCTTGGAGAGGGGGCAGCTGCTGCTGGCTCCGGGGCTGAAGGGCACGGCCAGGGGTGAGCGGGCTGCTGTGGTCCGTCCAGGTGGAGGCGCAGCCAGGATGCAGCGGGCAGTCTTGGCTGCTCAGGAGAGGGCTAGACACCACAGGGAGCTTGCAGCGCGCCCTCCGGAGGCCAGAGTGGGGCAGTGGACAGCCGAGGACTGTGGGGCAGGGAGGGGGTGAAGAGGGCGGTGAGCGGGACTGGAAGCCATCTGTCCACAGAGGTGACAACGGAAGGAGTCCCGCACCTCAGGGGCTCTGTCGGCCGACACTTCCGCGGTGTGCAGGGGGCAGTGAGCTTGGTGCCCGTCCGCTGGTCACGTGGCCGCAGCTTTCCCTTTTCAGTCACTCGCCTCCTTCCCCTTTTATTTCAGAGCTGACCCAGATCGAGGACCCCAGGGAGCAGTGGAGGCGCGAGCAGGAGCGGATGCTGAAGGAGTACTTAGTTGTGGCCCGGGAGGCTCTCAATGCCAAGAAGGAGATCTACCAGATCAAGCAGCAGCGCTTCGAGCTGGCTCAGGAGGAATACCAGCAGCTGCACAAACTCTGTGAGGACGACAGCCGCTCTCACGCCAGCTGTGAGTTGACTGTTAACGGTGGTTGCCACGCGTGACGCTCGCAGCCCTCTCCGCTAGGCCGTCTGCAGACACTGCACTTTATTTGGGCACCACAGCGCCACACAGCCCCTAGTGACACGCTGTTAGGTGACCAGCGGCCCCCCACCCCGCCCCGGAATCAGACGGTTATGCAGCAGCCTCGCCCTTAGCAAGGCCACGTGTGGGCCTCGCGCCCAGGCTCTGCAGTGGGGGAGCCTAAGAAGGGAAGGTCCCCGCCCTCACAGAACCTACCTTTAGCCAGGAAGGTGGATGCTAAACCAGCACACAAATAGAATTTGAGGTCGGGGCGTGAAACAAGCCCTGTCCCACGTGGCCAGTGTGGAAAAGGCTTCATGTGCGTGCGTGGGGAACCTGGGAGGCCCTCACAACTGTCTTGCGGAGCTGGAAGCAAACCCTCGGGAGCCGGCACACAGGCATCACGCCGTTATCTGGGTCTCAGGTGTGCAGCGTGCAGAATCCGCATGTGTACAGGTTCTATGAAATTCACCACGAAAAGTCCAAATCTGCCTTTCCAAACCTAGGCACCTTTTTCTCAATTCACCCTCCCCTGTCCTCGTGGTAAGCACCTACTGCTCCCATAGTATAAAATTCATTTCGTTTAGTTCATCTGTTGATTTTCCCCATCTGCTGCAGACGAGTGAAAAGCATATGGTGCTTGTGTTGTTCATTTCATGAAGCAGGACACCTTCTAAGTCCATGCATGTTAGTGCCGACGGCAGGGGCGTGTCCTTTTTATAGCTGTATAGTATTCCAGCGTGGACCAGGCCAGCCGTCAGCTGATGGGCACTGCTATGGGCATCTCTTCTTACTGCAGCTACTGTTGAAAGTGAGTCAGCCAGACAGGCTGTGGAGAGAGGGGTGGGTGTTCCTCTCTGTGGTAGGAATTTAAGATATTTCTGTTCAGTTGAGAGCATGCCTGGACTTGGGTATAAGGATATGTTGTTTGCAGGTTATCTTATCTGCTGTTCTTCAGATATTGGTGCTACTAGTTTTGTTTTGTTTCAAGTGGCCATCAAAACACAAGGGGTCAGCTCCGGGTTGGTTTCTTAGCTCTGTAATCGGGCTCTCTCGTGTCTTTTTCAAAGTTTGCTGTCAGATGAAACTGGCTCATCGCATGAGTTGGCAAGAGTTTGTGTAGGACTGTATTGATGTTTTCTTAACCGTTTGATGGAACGCCCCAGAAAAGCTGCCTGGACCCGGAGCTCTTTGCAGCCATGTCTGTCATCTCAAAGTCAATACCTTGGAGATGCAAGACTATTGGATTTTTCTCGATATTTATGTTTTCAAGGAATTTTTCTGTTTCTTCTAAAAGTCACTACACTTTGCTACGAACGGTCAGATAGTGAATGTCCGAAGGTCTTCATCTCAGTGGCAAGCACTCAACAGCCAGAGACTACATGTCAGAGAATGTAGGCAGCTTATTCTGATAAAAACATAAAGACAGGCCACGAGCTGGATGTGACCTGTGGGGCCTCTGCCGGCTGCTGACCCGAGCTGTCAGGTTTGTGAGTTTTGGCATAGGCGCGCCTTCGCCACGCCGGAAACGCGTGCAGGCTCTGAGGCGCGTGCTCGCACCGGAGGTGGTGTCCGTGATCATTCCTGACGTCCAAAAGGTGTGTCTCCTCTGGCTCAGTGTAGGTCAGCTTGGCTGGTTGGATGTATGTTTGCTATGAACTGGCCGTCGACTTTCCCCCCACCCCATTTCCTGCCTCTTCTGTTTTATTGACGTTTATTCTTTCTTTCTGGTTCTCTTTGGTTTGACTTTAGTTTGTTCTTCCTTGTCTAGCTTCCTGTAGTGGAAACTTAGATCGTCAATTCTACGCTTTTTAAATTTGCCTACATACTTGCTAAGGAAAGCCTCACTGCACCCCACAAATTCTGGTTTTTTCATTTTCATCAAGCTCAGATGACTTTTTCATTTCCTCTGGGGTTGCAGTTTTGACCCATGGGTGCTTTAGAAGTCAATTGTGGGACTTTTCCGAGATGTCATGTTTTCGATTTCTAGCTTGATTCAGCTGTGGTCGGGAAACTGCAGTAGGCGTGAGCTCAGTCATTTGGATTCTCTTGAGATGATTTTTCTGGCCTGGTCTGTGGTCTCTCTTGGTGATCTCCTGGGCTTGAAATCCTGTGGGCTTGGTGCCCCACAGTCACACCTAACTGAAGAAGGACATGGCGGGCAACCTTGGCAAGGGAGTTTCTTGCCAGCGATTTGGAAGAACAGTTGGGTCGGGAGTTTTGCCCCATGGCCGGGCCACTGTGGCCCAAGTGTAGAAGCTGAGAGCAGACGTGTGCCCCTACGGCTGCGGGCAGGGGGTGGCGGCCGCAGGAGCTGTAGCCGGGGACGCCTGACGCCTGAGGGTCAGTTTCCGCGGCCTCCCACCCCCGGCACTCGGGCACTGGGCACTCGGGCACGCTGGGAACGCCGCGCTTCGGGAGTTTCTGCATATGCCCAGTGAGAAGGATGCAGCCTTTGAAGTGCTTGGGGAGCTCCGGGGAGGCGGCGGCTCCTGCGGCGCTGGCCCGAGCGCCGTGCTGTGCTCCGTGTGCGCACCGTGCGCCTCGCATTCCAGCGCCCGGCCCGCCGGGCCTCGGCCGACGCGGTCTCAGCGTCTGCGGGAGCAGGTAGCCTGGCGGCCACGCTGGGCCTGCCTGTTCGCACGAAGGGCTGGAGCGGCCAGTGGGTCCTGCTGGGGCCTATCAGCCCCGCAGGGAAAAGACTCTGAATGGAATCTGGGAACGGAGCCAAAGTGTTTCTCGGGTTGCTCCCGTCCCTGGGGCTTTGACCAGGCTCATTCAGTTTGCCATTTAGCCCAACTACCAGTGACAGCGAGGGCGAGCTCTGGTAGATGTGACGCGAGTGACTTATTTCTGGCCACGGATGAAGTTCGGGACAGAGACCCTGCTGGCTCACATCACGACCTAGCAGGTGTCTCCGACACAGGGCCCCAGAGCGCGCCGAGCCCGTCATCCCGGCGGGGGGCGTCTCCCGGCTCTGCTACTGGGAATGGAATAACATTTGGATTTATTTCCCATCACTTCCTTCACTGGCAGTGATTCAAAGTGAAGGAAGCAAAATGGAATGAGCTGGTGTTTTTATACGCATGGTTATGATTGCAGCATTATGAAGAAGGTACGTGCTGTTACCGTCCTCGGTCACAGGAGAAACCGAGCACTGAGCAGGCTGCATGGCTGCTTCGAGGCTGTCCCCCAGTGAAGGGAGAACTTGGACCTGACGCCAGAGCTGTTCGTGTGTGGGCTCCAGTGCCCCGTCGCTTCCTGGCCACGGGAGAGGCGGCTCCAGACCCGGTGGTGCTTTTGGGAAACCTTGTCCCCCCCGATTATAACGCGCGTCCTCCGGCAGTGTGGCGACACCAGGGGCGTGTGGGAGGGAGGACACTTCCTGCTTCGGGGCCTCTGCTGCCCAGCTAGCGTCGCTCACCCCTGGAGTTCCTGCGCGGTCCCAGACTGCCCAGTGTGCATGCTGGGCTCGCCGTTTGTCCCCAGTGGCCGGCCGTAGGGGCAGGTGAGGCAGCAGTGGAGAGAGAGGGGAGTGAGGAGCGAGAACCTCCACTGGGGCAGAAGGGGGCAGGCTGGGCCTGGGGTACCCTCTCGCCCACGCCCTTCGCACGTTGCCCCTCGAGGTGTGGAAATCACTAGAGAAAACTCTTTTCACTTAAAAGGAAAGCTTTGCTGTCAGTACTGGGCCATCTGGTAGCTAAGGATCTCCAGGCCTGGAGCATCTCTGGCCCTGACCAGAAGAAAGTCAGATGCTTCTCTGGGTCTGACACACGCGGCCCTGCGAGAGTAGGGCACGCTGCCCGCTTCGCTCACGTGAAGCTGCGAGCAAGCTCCCCACGCCTCATTTGTGCTTTCTTTTTTCTTTCTTTCTTTCTTTTTTTTTTTAAATAAAGATTTATCTATCTATCGATGCACACAGAACTGGGGTATAGACCAGAGCTGCAGGGCCAGCGAGGGGATTCACCAGAGAGCAGAACAGGTGGGTGGACTGAAACCCACTGCTGAGGGGAGCAGTGGGAAGACAGGAGAGGCCTGGGATCGAACTCGCACCAAAGCAGCTGCAGCCAGCTTGCAGGGCTGCGCTTTCACCCGTTGGGCCGCAAGGGAGGGCCCTCTTGGGTGCTTTCTAGAACATGGCGCTGCACCTGCTCTGGAGTGGAGTGTCCTGAGAGCCACCGGTTGCGCTGCTGCGGCTCCGGCTGCGGCGCTTCCCCTGCGGCGCTTCCCCTGCGGCGCCGCTGTCGCGGGCTCTCCTCTGCCCGGGCACAGCGGCTACACGCGCTGTTTCGGAAACATTTTCTCTGGAGTTGCACTTCTCATACTTTCTGAGAAACTCAGGCCTCCAGATGGGCTCGGATGAGGTGTGTGGCCCTCTGCACCCTAGCCTTTGAGAAGAGTTACTGTCCGGGGTGGAGTCTGGCCAGAGCCACAGTCAGCAAACTGTAGGGCTGGGGGCTAAGTGCTGTCCACCCTGCGTGTTTGTCAGTAGAATCTACTGGAACATGGCCACATTCCCCCCCTTTGTCTTGATTGAGTCAGTTCACACAGACTGCCTGGCCCACCAAGCCAAGAGCATTTTATGATCAGCCCTCTGCAGTCTCCCCCTCCCCTTCAGCAGCGGTGTTCCACCCTGGGATCTCCTGTTACCTGGGCCCTGGCCCCAGGGGCTTCAATTTTATTGGCCTTGAGTAGGCCCAGGGGAGTTTTCAGCTCCCTAGGTGGTTCCCAGAGTTGAGATCCACTCCTTGTGCCGCTGGGTCTTCCAGCAGCCGGAAGAGAACTCGGCTACCCCGCCCTCTGGAGCCAGTCGGCACCAACAGTCTCTCTGGGTGGCTGGGAACGAGCCGGCTTATCTCCCATGGGAAAGTGCTGACCCGCCCTGGACTCTTGGGGCAGGTGGTGGAAGCGCTGACCTTATCAGGCGTCCGCCCTGCCAGCATTCTTTCCGAGGTTCCAAGCCCATCCCACGACCGCCTCCCCTCCTCTGCTGCAGGGCTTCTCGTCTCCTATCTAGGTCAGGATAAGGCCGCAGTCCAGCCACTCCGCCTTTGGTTTTCCTTCGCGTGGACATGTCGGAGCAGGCAGGAGCCCAAGGATCGGGAGCTTTCCTCCAGGCCAGGCTCCGTCCGTCACAAAGGTCGCAGCAGAGCACACACGCCTAGCGAGAGGTAGTCTCCTAGGCCTGGTCTGGCCTCGGTGGCATCTGGTGTCACCCTCGAGTGGGTCCCTTTGCTTTCGGGGGCTCCTTTGCTTATGCTTTCAAAGAAAATGCCTCGGCCTCCCTGGCGGCCACGGCTAGTGACGTGATGCCTTTGCGGTCGCTCCCGTAATTGGTGCCTGTCAGCAGGGAGCTGGCAGCGCGGCCGTCCTTTCTGCCAGTCTTCTCGGCCCCTCGAGCCACCCGGCAGCGCCGCTGCCCAAGGGTCTCAGGAGAAGGCCGAGTGCGGGTGGGTCCTTGCTGCGCGGAGGAGGCCGTGTGTGAGAGACAGGCGGCCGGACAGACGCACAGATGTGTATGTTCCCCCTTCAGACCCCGAGCGCTAAGCACGCAGGGTCACTTGCCCGTGGGGCCGGGGGGCCGGGGGGCATGCTTTCGTACGTTGGAAAATGCAGTCACAGGACCATGGGCCGCCGACCCGAGCCCCCTGTGATGGCCCAGCGTAGCTCAAGTCGGTGCAGTCGTCTTTGATCTGGAGAGCCAGGGAACACAATCACCGTCTCCACACAGATGTTATGAGCATAGATGAAATAGCCGTGAGAGGCACCCTGTAGGAGCAAGGCCTCGTAATTGGCATTGTCGTGGCAGCTAACCGGCGACCTTGTCATTACGGTGTCCGGAGCGATAGGGTGTGTGAGCGACGCCTTCGGCTCTTCGCTAGCTCTGCCCACTCAGCTCTGCACGCCAGAAGGAAGCCGCGGAGGGGGGCTTCTGGTCTCTGTCATAAACCCGGAGGCCGGAGGCATGTCTTGACAGGGAAGAGAAGCCTGTTTCTGAGCGCTGCGAGGTCCGTGCTGGGAGGCCGGCCCGGGCCCGAGCTGTCCCCGCGCTCCGGCGGGGGAGTAAAGCCACAGCGGGGCTCAACAGCCGAGCCGACGGGCTGACGCTCGCCAACGCTGGGCTCTCGAGTTGCCTTTTCCCGCCGTCACCCCTCTTCTGGAATTTTATCCCTCTAGAGGCCATAGCAGAGGTAACGTTACGCAGGTGGAACCCCCACGAGCCTCTTGTGTCCTGTGGCATGTTGCAGCCGCGAGGGGCAGGAAGGACAGGAAGGAGCGCCCTGGCCCACAGCAGCCCTCGGAGGTGGCCTCGGCGGCTCAGTGATGTCCCAGCTCCTCGGGCTCCCCTCTGGGGCTGGGTCTCCCGGTGGGTCGCCGACAACCCAAGCTGTCAGCGCCGGGGCGCGGGCTGCCAGCCAGTTCCCATGCCACCCGCTGCGTGCCGCCGGGCCGTCTGCGAAGCTCCCCCGCGGCGCGGCTCACTCAGGGTTTTGTGTCAGCGGTTTGAGAGTACTGTTGCCGCGTTTAACATCGCGGGTACCTTCCCTGGGCTCGGCCGCGGGGCCCCTTCCTGCCCCGTGGCGCTGTCTCCCTCAGGTGAGCTCGCGAGGAAGCGGGGTCGGCAAGCCTTCGGCTCCTCTGCTCGGTGTCTGGTGCACACGTGGGCAGCGCCAAGCTCGGTCCGGGACACTTTCAAGTCCAGGAGGTCAGTGGGCAGATTTTATAGAAGTGATTTCTGCCCATTAAGGGCATCGCTTGAGGTGTTGCTTTTATTACTGATCTTAGATGAAACCGAAGGCAGGTTGGAGGTTGCTGGATTTGGAAACAGTTCTTCATTGCTTCAGAAAGAATTCTATTTTGGAGGCATTTTGCTCCGTGTCTTCCAGAGATTATACTACTAAATATAAGAATTTGAGATAAAATTGGCAAATGCTTTGATGCATCAGATATTTATTTCCGGTAGATTCTAGTGGTTTGAAAAGTCTGACTGATGGAGGCTTAAGTAGATTTTCCATAGAGCTATTTTTTCAAGGCCGAGCCATCTGAGCTGCTTGAATGAACCCTGAATGGGGTTGTCGCTGGGCGCAAGCCTGCCTTTGCGCGTCCTCCCGTGGAGAGCGGGATGACTGGGCCTGGCTTCCGCGGGGCGCCAAGCTGAGCAGCGCTCGGCCTCTGGCACCCGCATCCCAGGAGTCCGAGAAAGGCTGGCGGCGCAGCAGTCTGAGCTGGGGTCGAGCCGGGGAAGGGAACCCAGGTGGCTGGGAGGCAGAGTGGCCAGTGTGGGGTGACTCAAGGGTGAGGGCCGAGCAGCACCCCTGCACCCCCAGGAAGGGACGCCTAGGGAGAGGAGACACACGCAGACAGAGGGCAGAGGGGTGCTGGAGATGAGCCCACCTGCTGCCAAGCGGCCCCAGGACTGGCAGGAGCCTGCAGCTCCTGTGTGCGGCCCGTGTCCGGCGCCGCGGCCAGCCGCCCCGCGAACCTCAGCTGCGCCTGCAGAGCTGGGGTGGTCGCGCGCACCGCGCCGTGGGAAAAAGCACTTAGCGGCGCGATGTGTCTCAGCCGCACAGCCGTCGGAAACAAGCTGCGGAGGAAGGGCAGGGCTTCGCTTCCGTCGCGGGGCCGGGCTGGCCAGGGCAGCCGGAGCGAAGCGCGGCCTGCAGAGCCCAGGGCGCCCGAGCACGCAGGCCTTCCCCGTCCACGTCTTAGGTGTTTCCCTTCTGTCCAAATGTGCTCGTGCGGAGACCATGGCTCTGAAGGCAATCAGAATAAATCTCTAGTGCTGCAGTCACACAGAGAGTAATCACAGGTAATTCTTTGGGCTCTCCCAATGGCTTCTGGGAGCGCGCCGAGAAGAAAGTAGACCTGGGCTTCCCTGCAGTCGACCCCTCCAAGTGGACAGGGCTTGTAACCGTAACTGCTGGGCAGTCGAAGTAAAGCTGTGCTGTAGCTCCAGCCAGGCGGCACGTAAACAGCAGGCGTCAGGCCTGAGGCTCCGGAATGTTTGCTCTGCCGGGGCCAGTGCCAGCGCGTGCACCTGAGACAGAATCCCCTGCTTCCCACGCGACCCAGCAGTCCTGTCTGTGTCCTTTCCTTATTTTAACGGACCCATTATAAAATAAACTATTTTCCTTCTGTTTAGCCTTCTCTGGATATTCAACAAACACAAAGTACGACCCACACCAAATAAAAGCAGAAATAGCAAGTCGCCGGGATAGGGTGAGTAGACCCGCAGCCGCCTGTGCTCCTGCTCGTGGCGCCGAGCGTGACGCCCGAGCAGGGCCGCGGCTGCGGCCGTGCGGCCAGCCTTGGAGTCCTGGGTTACTGCTGTTCCCCTCGGCGCGACGCTCCGTCTCCTTCCAGTGGGGGGCCGCCTCACGTTTAAACCTTACCTACCCGACAAAAGGCCACCTGTCCCCCTCCGCGCGTGTCATGGGGCTAGACTCACCCCACGTTTGGAATGACGTCATTTGGCGCCATCAGGGGTGCCCACCTTGATGCAGCGTCAGCACCCGCTGGCTGCCCCTGGCTGCTGCGTTCCCAGAGGGCTCGTCCCTCCGTGGCGCTGGACAGAGCTTCCGATGCTCCTCCGCGGTGACGCCTGAACTCTGCGCGCCGCCTGTGTCCCCTGCGGCCCCTCCTCTTGGTTGCCTGGGGAGGGCAGTCTGGTGGTGCCCTCCCCGCAAGGCGTGGGGAAGCCTTGGAGAGGAGCCACCTTTCTCGTGGTGACGCCTCCCTGAAAGCTGAGGGTGGCGGTCTGTGGCGTGGCGGTGCTCACGCTCCAGCACGCCTACTGCGAGAGACGTTAGGCGTCTGAGGGCCGCTCACCGCTCTCGCGGGCCTGGGGCGGCCCGGAGCCCCAGCGAGGAAGCGCGCCACTGGTTTCCTGGGTGGAGCCCCTGGGTGGCACGCAGAGGGAGAGAGGACGCATCGCACGGCCGTCAGTCGGTGCCCTGGCAGAGCAGCTGCCATGCCTGCGTGTCAGCAGGCGCTTCTCCCCGGCTGTCTGCGGGACGGTCGCGGAGGGAGCTGCTGACGCGGCGCTTGGACGCTCCCAGGCGCTCCCATGACAGTGCTAACAACGGTAGAAAGGATTTCGCGAAGCTTGTTTTGGAAAAAAAAATATGATTTGTCTTTAGCTTTCCAGATTAAAGCGAGAGCTGGCCCAGATGAAGCAAGAGCTGCAGTGCAAAGAAAAGGGGGTGGAGACCCTGCAAGAGTGAGTCACCCGGCAACAGAGGGAGGCTGCCCTGTGGCTTCCTGCGCGGGGTCTGGGCCGTGTCCTGCCGCTCCTTGGCTCTGCCCGTGTGCTCCCACCGTGCCCGTCACCCTCCCGAGCGCTGGGATCGCTCTTTCCCTCGACACCTCGTCCCCGTAAGCGGGAAGGCGGCACGCCGGGCCTGGACTCGGGCGGCCGCTGCCGGCGACGCACGTGCCGGCTGAAAGGAGCTGGGCCAAGTTCGCTGCCGTCGCTCACATTCTTTATTCCGAGGTGCTAATGTAAGGTAAAGGGGGGCTGTGGCGGCCGGCCCCGGGGCGCAGCTCTGCACTGCTGGGGCTAGTGACGTGTTGCAGCAGGCAGCCTCTGGCGGGCGGGGTGTCCTGGGCGTCGCGCGGTGTGGAGCAGCAGCCCTGGCCTTGACCCTGGAGGCAGGCGCGCATGCCCTCGTGCCCCCGCCTCCCAGTGTGAGTGCCAGCGCGAACGGCCCCGCAGTCGCCCAGCGTCCCCTCCGGCGCCTTGGCTCCAGGGCCGCCCGGCCCCTGCCCGCGCGTGCCGTCCTTGCAGTCGGCAGGCGCCACGAACCAAGGGTGGGGGTTGCGAGCGGGCCTCCCCGGGAGGGTGTGCCGTGTGTGTGCGGGCCCGCCGGAGGGGGAGGCTCTGTCACCCCGCGACAGATGCTGCGGGGGTGCTCACGACTCCGAGAGCAGGCGCCTTTCTGCTTCCTCGCCGAAGAGCTCTCCGGTCCCCGCTTTCCTCCTCAGGGTTTAGGGGGTTCACCTTGGCCATTTCGGGGGTGTGGACATGCAGCCCATAGCAGCCACTGTGGGGTGATGCCAGCCACGCACATGCAGGGCCCGTGCGCCGCCGCTGTCGGGAAGGGGCGTCCAGGACATTGGTCAGATGTGGCCGCCGGGGCGCTCTCTTCGGAGACGCTCACGCTTGGGTGTTGGCCAAACAGTGATCTCACCTCCAGCCCGCTGTGAACACGGGGCTCAGGTCCACTTTCTTAATGGCCCAGGGCGGGCGGCCTTGGCGCCTCCTTGTCCATCTCTTTGCGGGACTGCTGCTCCGCCTGTGGGCCGGCTGTCTCTGGCCGAGGGGCAGCCCGGCCCCTGTGGGCCCTCCACTGGGTTTTCATTGAACCCCACCACAAGCTGGGGCCTTCCAGCCTCTCTGTCGGCCCTGGGCTTCCTCCCCCGGGGCCAGCCATGCGTGTGGGCGCTTTGTCCTGCGCCGCGGATTGCAAGACGATTTCTTTAAGCAGCCTTAGTCAGGGCAGCCTTTCAAACAAGCCTGGCTTAGCAAATGTTACTTCTCCATCGGCTCCTTCTGGGCCATTTGCAGCGACACTTCCTTGCACCCACGGCCGTCCCATCATTCTGCCTAGTGCAGCCCAGCCAGCCTTCAGGCCCTCGAGGCCGGCAGCGATGCTTGTGGGCACTGTGGCCATGTCACTGCGTGGCACTGCGGCCGAAGGGCTGGGGATGAGGTGAGCAGGAAGTAGTTGCTCATTTGGGAAGTCTTCAGAGTTGCTGGGACTAGCTCGATGAATTCCCAGGAGGTTGCCTTCCCTCTGTCATTGGGCCACACCTTAGCTTTCTCTCTTGACCGGGACCCACTGCTAAAGACTTTCCACTACCGGTGCCTCTAGATTAGGCTTCTTTTCAGCGCGAGGCATCGTGCAGACTGGGCTGCACTTCCTCATTCTCACTGGCAGAGATGCTGACGAGGGTGACGGGGGTTTGGGTGGCTCAGGAAGACTCGGAGGTCCCCTAGCCCTCCGAACCTCACAGGTGTCTCCAGCCTGGCTCTGCTCCCTACAGATGTGGCTTCTGTCAGGGGTTGCCGGGCCCAGGCCTGTTTCTGCACCAGGCCTCCGCCACTCCTGCCATCTTCATTCCCTTACACGAGGACAAGGGCTAGGTGCGACCGCAGCCCAGAACAAAAGCCCTCAGGAAAACAAGCTGTGCCGGGTACTCGGGTGAAAGGGCAAATACCTACCCCTGGCAGAAAGGCTCCTCATATTGCCAAAGGCGGAGTCCTCTTGAGGGCAAGCCATTGCCAGCTCGGACAACAGCGACAGCCAGTGTCTCAGGTCCGCCTGTGGAGATTATAGAAGCCAGGGCAGGCACTATCCTCGGGCCTGCAGCTGCCATGCGTGGATGCTGGGTCTGCGCCCCTCTGCTTGCCCAAGCGTGACCCATACTTGGGGCAGGGATGGTAAGTGCCCCACTGGAAGGCCTAGGCTCACGCCCTGCCACAGCCCGGGGTTGCCCGCCCTCCCCAGAGGAGGCCAAGGAGTGGTCTGAGGAAAGGTTCTGGGCCTGGCCTGGGGCCTGGGGAAGCCAGCCCAGCTTTCCAGACGGCGCTGCCGAGAGGCAGCATTTCACAGCTGTGTCACCCTCTGTGCGGACGCTCTTCTGTGACGTGTCTCACAGGAAGGAGAGCCAGCACGGGCTCCTGTCAGCCTTAGCCTTCTTGCCAGCGGAAAGCCACCGAGGGCGTTCAGGTCGGGCTTGGATCCCGTGCTTCTGGATTCCTTACCGAGAATGCAGCCTTGGTAACCGTGGCGGGGCTGCGTGTGCTGCCTGTGGGCCCGGCAGACCCCTGTGCGCGAGGCAGCCCTCCGGGGCAGCGCTGCAGTCCGTGGACGTGGCCACCCTGTATTTTCGTCCCGGGATGCTGCCGTGCAGCGTCCTGGAACGTCCAGTGTGCTCTTTCCAGTCCCTCACTAGGAGTTTGGCTGCTCCTAACATTTTCAACTTGACTTGTTTACCTTGCCCAGCCCTCCCGGCTAGCAGAGAAAGCCATCGCTACGCTTGGGTCCAAGTGAGGAAAAAGAAGCTTTTGCATGTGCTTCTAAGTTGATGCTAGTTGTTGATTCTTATAGAGGGGGCTGGCTGTGAACACGGCTCGGGGTTAATGACAGGGCGGGGTGCGCGCGCTGCTCGTTACCTGATAACGTGCTGATTATTAAAGCCACTCAGCCCCCAAGTGGGCCTTTGTGACTGGACTGGGCCGCCCTGAAGTTTCTGGAGCTTGCGGAGAAAAGTTATCTTACTGTAACTCGTTGCCGGCCTCCAGGGACAAAGGGGAGGGCTCGGACTAGGTGCTGAGTTGCCCATATGGGCTCTGCGAGAGGATGTGCCGCGTGTGCCTGTCGGCGGGGCGCGCTCCTCTCGAGGCCTTGGAGGTCACCTGGAGATCTGGACCGTGCCTCGTGTTCCCTGCTGAGTTGTCCTGCAGCCAGGAAGCTCATTGGACACTGCGCTCTGGCGTTTCCCATGCTTTCGTTTCACCGAAGCCTCTCTGCCATGATGCCTAGAGTGTTCCGAAGCGCTGGTGTGATGGCTCCAGGCGCTTCGGAGGGCAGTCTGGCTGCCATGCCACACGGATGGCTCGCCGTGAGCGCTGCCGAGTCGCTGCTCCCGCGCTACAGAAAACGGCCGCTGTGCTGTGGGCCCGCGCTCACTCTCACTTGCATCCGTCCACACTCTGGATGCGTGTCTGCCCCTCAGTGTGAGAGTGGAGGCCTTGACCAGGGGTATGTTGTTCACCGGGCGATGACAAGGCTGGGTGCTGGCCTCCACTACCCTGTCTGCACCTCTTACTGGCTGAGAGACTTTCCCAAAGCAAGATGTCGACGGTGGAAAGTAACGGTTGTGTGGTCTGCGCACTGGATTCTTTTGGTACTGCGTCTCTGCCCCATCTGGTGGCTATCAGCAAATGACAGGAAACTTTCCTCGCAGGTCTGGGGGCTGGACGTCCAAGTCGGGATTCCCTCATGCCAAGTCAGGTGTCTGCCGAGAGCCATTCCTGGCCCTGCCTAATGGGCGTCTTCTCGCTGGCACCTGGCGGAGGGCCGAGGGGCTCTGGGGCTCTTCTAGAAGGCCCCTAGTCCCGTTCGTGGGGGCTCACGGCCCAGACCCCCCAGCCCCGGGTGCTGGGACTCCAGCAGGTGGAGTTTGCACGGGGACGCTCACACTGTGGCGCGGCGGGCGCCGTCCCGGCCGTAGCGCCTGCTCAGTGCCTACCAGCTTCCTTTAAGAGGCGCGAGCACTGTCTTGGGCTCTTAGTTCAAGTTTAAAAAAGGGAAGACAGCTCTTCGGCCGTCACCGACTCGTACCGCTTTTTTTGAGATGGAGTGCACGGAGACTCAGGACGCCGTCGCTGCGCGCACCCCTCCGTTGGCGGAAGGGCGTTAGCAAAGGGCACGAGCGCCGAGTGAGTGAGTTTTGCGGACCAGGGCGGAGAGGGTCCTGCCCTTTGACGTTGTGGCTAGGTGAAGATTGACCACAGTTGAGAGATGGGCGTGATCGGGATTCCATGTAACATGGCCCGCCCTTCCCGAAGCGCGAGCCCCCCCCGGCCATTCTGGGGGGCGCCGCGGCTGCCATGGCCATCGCTGCACCCCGAGCCTGAGCGGGCCTGACAGCAGGGCCTGAGGGCGCCGGATCTTAGCTGTGCTCCCCAGCCACTCGGCGCCGCCCTGAGCTGCTGCGTTCCGCTGTCCAATCCGGGGAGATGACGCTGCCCTCAGGAGGCTGCTGCAGGGAGTAAAGGGGCGTCGGGCGACGTCGGTGCCAAGGCCCTGCCACCAGTGCACGCGCGAGGCGTCGAGCTGTGCCAGCGCCCTGCGGGGTCGAGGGAGTCGGGCGGCAGATGCACGGGCAGTGTGTTAATTTACATAATGTCATGTTTAGGGTATCTACCTTTTCGTGTAACTATATGCTTTGTAATAACATACAAGTTTCTCCGAAGAGTACTTCAGATACTCCTGCGGCTTCGAGCTCGGGCTCTCCAGTGGCTCTCGCACATCTGTAAGCAGTGAGAGCTTCCTTTCCCAGCGGAATCTTCGCTTCCTCTCCTTGCAGATGCTGTCGGAGGGGGGGGGGGGGCAGAACGCCTGAGGCAGAGCGAGGGGGGCAGGGCTGAGGCGGCGAGGGTCCGAGCCCCTTGTGCCTTCCTCCTGGCTGAGACCCTCTCAGAATGCAGTGTGAAGAACTGCCCTAGGCCAGGCTTTTCATTCTTCTCAGAGCCTCTTGGGGAGAGGTCAGACCAGCAGGCCCGTGGCCATGGGGCTGAAACTCTGTTCTCCTCGGTGCTCCTCGGCGTCGGCTGGCAGGTGAAGGATGAGGCTGCTGATCTTGCTCCCTGAGGAGGGTAGGGGCCTGTTTCCCATCCCAGAACCTGGGGCCTCGAGGGGCTGCTCGCCCAAGCCGCACTTCGGCTTCACAGCTGCTAGAAGCCGCAGGGAAATCACCACACTCGAGCACAAAGCTGGAGCTGACAGTTAGTGTTACGTCGCGGCCTTGTCCGTGAGCGTGTCTGCGTGCCGGCGGTGATGATCCTCAGCTGGATGCTTCATTCCGGAAGAGCCGCTCGATGGGGAGAGCAGAGGCGCCCTGGCTCCCCGGCTGCTGCAGAGAAGTCCGGCTCTTCTGGCCGGGGGTTTTGGGTGAGGATGGGGTGAACCTTCCAGCAGGCTTCATCAGCTGTGTCGGTCATGGCTTGTGGGTCAGATGGGCTGTACTGGAATGCCTTTTGTCAGAGGTGAACACAAGGAGACGTTCTTACGTACATTTTCTCTGCAAGGAAAGTTGGCCACTTCCCCGGCAGATGTAGGGTTAGATGGGTGGCTTCTCACGTCGGCCTAGAGCCCTGCCTGCTTCTTGCGCTGGAGACTCGCTTCTCCGTAGAGCAGCGACGCTGGAAAGCTAGGGGCTTGCCGCTGTTTTCCGTTTTCCGGTGTCAGGCATCTCGGTGTTTCTGGGGCCTGTTGAGACGAGCAGCCCTGCACAGGGCGCTCGCTTCCAGCCCGAGCTCTCACCAGGAGAGAGCAGAATTCCACCTTCCTTCTGCTGTAGCTTTGTGCTTGCGCGATGGCCCTTCATCCCAGAATTGTGTCTGCTGCCAAGTCCCTGGGCATTTCGAAGCGTGGCGGAAGCGAGCGGCTCAGGGCAACTATCACCGAACACCCGCCGGCTAACAGTTAGTGGAAGAGGAGGCTCCTCGCCTGTGTGGTCCGGGGGCCTGGCTGCGCGCGACTCGGCCTCCCATCCTGCCCGTAGACTCACCTTCAGCAAGGACCCAGGCATTCGGTGATCAACTGGGCTTGGGGCCCTGCCCCAGGCTCAACATCTTCATGAAGGCCCCAGGGCTGCTGGGTGTTCAGAAACTTCTTCGGCCTGAGAGCTGGGGCGAGAAGCCACAGGGAGGAATGTTTCACGGGATCCTCATTTTTCTTTACTAAAACATTGGGATTGGGGGGAGTCATTTTTGAGGTATACATGACGGCATGTTGTCTGATCTGGCTCTTCACCTTTCTCCGGAGCTTTTGAGTTGTTTAACCGAGGTTATGCCCTCACCTGGAATGACTCGTTTTCTGTTCTTAACCAGAATCGATCGTAAGATGTCAAGTGCTCACACCACCTTCAAGCTGGACGAGGCACAGGCGATCATGAGCGAGCTGCGCTCCATCAAGAAGGCCATTTGTACGGGGGAGAAGGAGAGGCGGGGCCTGATGCTGGTAAGCACCGCGCCCTGGCCGTTGCGCTCCTGGAAACAGTTTGCTGGTTTATTGTTCATTCTCGGAACGACAGGTTTACTGGAAAATGAAAAGGGAGAAGAAGCGCCCGAGCAGATGCAGGCGGGTGGTCTCGGGACTGATCTGCTGAAAGCATTCTCAGTACACGTTTTCCACGTGTGTGGCATGCTTTGCGCTAAGTCACGCGTGTGTACCTTTTAAGACGTGTGTGCATTAGATTCCTACGTGTCTGTGCATATCGAGCGAGAAATATGCGCCTAGTTTTAAATAGGAGTGTTCGCTTCCAGAACTGCCGTGATAGCGTCTCACAGCCTGGGTCACTTCAGCAGCAGGAGTCTGCTGAGTCTGGAGGGTGGAATGTGAGGCGGCTCCTTGCTCGCTCTCAGCCAGCTTCCGGAGGGGCTGGCGCTGCCTGGCATGCCCTGGCTCGTGGGCGCAGCACCCTCTGCCGCCACCGTCCACGCTGCTCGCCCTGTGTCTCTGGGTCTTCTTTTGTAAGAACAGCAGTCACAGGGCTGGGGCCCGCCAGCCCCGCTGGGCCCACCGTGTCTCCGTTCCCTTCCATCTGCCAAGGCCCCGTTCCCCAGTGAGCTCCGATCACAGGCCCTCCAGGGAGCTCACAGGGCAAGTCACAGCTGTGGGGGAGGCATTCTGGCGCTTCCAGCTTTTCAGTAATTCAAAGCCTTGCTCGTCCCACTCACTCACCTCCTGTGCCTCCTTCCATTGGCTTCTTGTTCACCTCCCCTCGTCTGTGTGGTTGTTTGGGGGAAGAACGTGTGCAGCCGCCCTCGGAGAGCTGGGCCGCCTGAACGCACGCCCACCCAGTGCGCCCTGTGGTCTTGTCCCGTCCCCGGGGGCCTCCTCACCCCTCGTTGCTTCCCTTTTGTGCCCCCTGAACACCTGTGATTTCAGTTATATTTAGAAAAAGCTGTGCTTTGAGATGGACGCACGCTGTAGTTTTTGCTCTGTTAGAAAGCATTCAGTTGTTTCTATAACGGCTTTTATTTTTCTCTCAACGCGCTAAGGGGCGCCTCGCGCCTGCTAGGCGTTTGTGTAGATTCTCCAGAATGTAGCACATAGACGGCCGTGTGAAGCAAAGCTCAGACGCAGGCCCAATGGGGCAGCTGTGCATAGGCTGCCTTTGGCGGCCATGCTTGCTAAGGCCAAGACCGTGGCCGAGTCTCCCACTGCTTGCCTGCAGCTGCTTAAGATGCAGATTCCTGGGCCCCCATCGAGGCCTACTGGATTAGGGTCTTTCGAAGTAGCACCCGGAGAGCTGAGTCCTCAAGGCGTCCTGTCCAGGTTATGGCAGGTAAATGATCAATTGCCAAATATTCTCGTAGCCCTGGTGGCTAAGTGGCCAGCTACCACCTCGAGGGTGTGGCCTCGGATGAGGTGCTCCGTGGCTGTTTCTCATTTTGCCCAAGGAGCCCAAGCCCCAGGGCCCGCTCAAGCTGCCCAGCCTCCAGTGGGCCCTCCACGGTGAGGCCAGACATAGAATTGCTGGAAGAAGCTTCAGGCCCCTGCATCTTCTCGAAGAAACTCCAGGGAGAGGGCTAGGCCGCACCCTCGTCTGGTAACATCAGATCCGTTGCTTTGTGTGCCTTGCACGAACGTAACAGTGTGGACTCATCCCCGACCTCTGCCTCCGTGTCGTGCCAGCCAAGGGGCTGTGCCACACGCCGGCGCTGGTGTCTGCGGAGGTGTCTGCTGGAGATGGGCAGATCCGAAAGGCAAAAAAATGTAGAAAATCTGCTTTCGCTTTAACTTTCACTCGGAGGGGCTCCATGTGCCAGAATAGGTACTTACTCTTAAGCTTTGGTAAACCGACATCCGTATGAGATGACGATGTAGAATTCCGACTGAAAAATCGCGCTATAAAAATAGACGAGCCTCAGGAGGGAGCTGTTTCAGCTTCTGCAGAGTGGGTGCTCAGCTCTGCGTGGCATGATCTCTGTCGAGATGGGCAGACTACAGAGTGGTGCCTTGGTGGTGAGAGCATTTAAGATCTACGCTTCGCTACTTCGGAGTGCGTGATGCAGTAACGGTCACTGCGCTCACGTGCTGCCTGAATGCACTCTGTGGGGCCGGTGCCCCGCCCGCACCCCCGGGCACATCTCTGCCCCCGTGAGCCTGCTTCTGGGGAGGAGATGCCGGCGGTGTCTTTAGGAGACAGAAGGCTTCACGCCAGCGCAGGTGGTGCTGCAGTTGTTCTGTTTCATTCACATGCTGCCAGGAGGCTCGTGTCGACCCGACCTAAGTCCCTGAGAATCTTATCACAGGTGCCTTTCTTATAATTGTGATGAAGAGGGAGGTGGGGTGGCCTTTCCGCAGTGGCGAAGTCGGATCTGAGCCCGGAGCGGAGTGGCTGCTGTTAAAGGGAGAAGGGGGCGCAGCACGAGCCTCTCTGTTCAAGTCGCCGTTCGTTCCGTTCCAGAGCCTGGCCAAGCTGAGCGATAGCTTCAGGAACAGCTGCTCGCTCTCCGACCCGCTGCAGGAGCTCCCTCACAGTCCAGCCGCGTTGGGCAACTCGTTTCCACCGCAGTTCTGCGACGCTGGCTCCCAGACTGACATCGTCGGGGAGGTAGGCCTGTCCGCCGTGCCCTGAGCGTTTGCTTGAATGTTCCACCAACACCTCAGCAGTGTCTTGACCGTTGTGCCCTTCAGCTAGAGGGAATCCTTTAGAGAGCTGCATTTGAGTGTCATGTAACAGGCATAGGGCTTCTTGGAGCAGGGGTCAGCTAACCTCTGTCAAGGTCCAGGCAGTGGGTGGTGTGCAGTTACGCGCCACGTAGTGATGCCTTGGTCAGGGGTGGCTGTGGGAGGCGCCGGTCCCAAAGGCCCCACCACGCAGCCTGGGTGTGGAGCGGGCCGTGGCGTCCAGGTCACGTGGGCACATGTGTGACCTCCGCACGGTGACGCAGTGGCCTGATGGTGCCCTCCTCAGAACATGTCCTTGCTGCTAAGTGATGTGGGACTTAGCAGTGACCGTGCCACTACAGCACGAGGCAGACGGTGAGCTGACGACACAAGGGTGTGCTGCGCCCCTATAAACTTGACCTACAAAAACCGGAACTTGGCCTGTGCTGCCGCTTGCTCATCTCCGGCCCAGACCAGTGACGCTGAAAGGCTGTGACAGCGCCTTGGCCTATGCTTTAAGGCGACGCCTTACGCTTTCGAAAGATTGTCAGGAAATGGGACTTTAAATGATTTAAAATTAATTTTGTCTGGGACTTAGATTTCATAAACACCCCTTTTGATAATTAGTGGAGCCTTGAGTTAGCTACCAAGGCAAAGCTGGCATCACCGTTGAAGCAGGGTAAATGTCACAGAACGAAGGAGGCCACTGACTTGGTAGACCTGGGGCAGTGCTTGGGATGCCATCTTTCTGGGGCCCGAGGGGGAGGTGAGCTAGCAGCTCAAACAGGGTGCTCCAGGGGGCGGGCTTCACACGGGAGGCGTGAGGAGCGGCCCATTTCCACTCAGTTCCTGGAGACGTGGCCTCGGGGCCTCGCCGCCTAAATAGATTCATGATGAGAGAAAACCGTGGAGAAGCGCATGGGGTGAGGTTGAGAATGCCCACCCCTGTCGGCCATTTCCTTGTCCTGTGAAGCAAGGTGACACAGGGTGACATCTCTGTGGTAGGTACGGAGAGATCCAAGAGCGAGAGGCGGGCGCGTCAGAGCTGTGGTGGAGTCAGAGCGTGTCCGTTCCGCCTCCTCAGGGCATTCGACCGCACGGGGGCTTTCTCCCCCTCCCCTCGGGCTCTTAACAGTCCTCCCGCCCCAGCCCATGTAGGAAGAGCGCCCCCTCCCTCACATGTTGTGACTCCTTGGGACAGCGTCACTATTTTGCACTGATGGAGGAGTAAGGCGGTTCCGGGCACAGCGTGGGATGAGGCCCTTGGGTTTTTTGCTTTGTGTCAGCTTTTACTTCGTAATTCCTCATTGCATTGAAGACTGTCTTTTTGTCCATTGGAACTGTGCAGTGGGAGCTAACCCTTGCACTGTTGGGACAGGACAGGCACCTGCCAGCGTGGGGGCGCGCGGCTGCTTGCTCCCAGCTGCCCCCCGCCCCGGCCGCCTTGCAAAGTGACCTCCCACGCCAGGTCAGCAGCGGCCCCCGAGGCTCTGACACCTCGCGCGGTTCCTATTTTGAAGGGCGTGTTTAATATGTACCTCTCTCCTGCTTTCTTTTTGCTTCTGCTCGGGAAAGTTTGCCTTTGATGATAAAACGAGACTTGTGGACCGAGTCAGGCTGAACTGGCAGTACGAGGAAGCCCGGAAGAGGTAAGAGGGACTTTCTCAGATCCTGTCCAGCTTGCTTTCTCTGCGCGGTGGGAAGGTCAGCAGGGTCCCAGAGCGCGCTGGCGCCTCAGCAGAGAGCAGTGTCAAGCTCTCAGGTACGCTTTCTGCAGAAAGCAAAACCCTGAGTATTGCAAACGGCGATAAAGATGTGATTGCATACAAGTACACGTCTCCAGTTTTCCAGCTAGTTCGGAATGTCTTTCCTTCCCCTCTCACCCCTTTCCTTCTTGAGACTGAGCATCAATTCCTTAGGCCAGCTTACGCGAAACTGTCTTGTCTTGCAGACGTGCCTTCTAACGCCATAGGTTGAAGGGAAGGCCGCCTATCTCGGTTAAGACAGGCTAGGGCCTCCCTGGTGTGCAGCAGGCTAGAGCACAGCACTGAGAAGCTAAAGCCACTTCCGCATGAGTTCGAGCCCCGCCGGCCCCGGAGCTGACCCACTTGGCGAGGCAGACCTCTCCTGACACACTGCTGCCCTCAGCAGTGTGCTTCGTCAGTCGGCCTGTTCTGCTCCCCGCTCTCTCTGGTGGATCCTCTCACCGCCCCTGCACGTCTGGCCTGCACCCCAGTTCTGTATGCACAAATAAATCTTTAAAAAAAAAAAAAAAAGCCAGGCTGAGGAGGACTGGGTCACAGGGCAGCAGTGCTTGACCTCTTGTTCCGATGGAGAGAACTGACCACTCATTTCTTTGCCTGCTGCCCACGTCATGTGCCTGCTGAGCACCCGGCCCATCTCACGGCGCTTCCCGTGAGCCGCTGCCTCGGGAGACGGGCGCCCCTGTTTTCGGTACTCTGACCCTGCACTAGCATTCAAGTCCTCTTTGTAGAGACTTGGTTTTATACCTTCTGGAAAGAGTTTAATTTTTTTTCAAAATATATGCTTTGGAGAACTCCGAAGCGCGTCTTTCTAAAACGCTTGCTTTAGTCACTGTGAACTCTTATCTGGGGGGAGGGGGAGGGTGCGGGCGCAGGAGCCCCATGCAGGTGGGATGCGCAGTCCTTTCTGGAAGGCGAACCCTCAGTGTACTGCGTCATCCCCTGCTGGAGGGTGGCTCGCGGCTGGCCCTGCTTGCCCGGCAGCTCGTGCCCAGTGCTGCTGGCTTTCCGTCGCTTGTAGGTGGTGGCCCCAGTGTCCACCTGGCTGCCGCCAGGCTCGTGCAGCGCCCCTCTTCTCAGCCCTCGCCTCCGGGGTGTCAGCTCCGGCGTCACAGCGCCGTGGCTGGTGCTCGTTTCTGCCGGAGCTGCCGTGAGGGCGCTGAATCGCTTCCACGTCGTCTTTCGTGACTTTCGGCTCTAAAATGGCCACATCTGAATGTTTTTCCAAGCAATCCTTGCAAATCATGCTGAATCCCATCTACCCTCCATACGCAGTGGGGGTGGGCAGAGGGACTTGGGGCCCCTGCAGGGCGGGTTCTTCATTCTCATGACCTCACATGGGGCCAGGGTGCTGCTCAGCCACCCGCCCGCCTGGGACGGCCCCACAGAGGACTCGGGCCCGTGCCTGCAGTGCTCTGACTGAGGGCCCTTGCCCTGGGCCGCTTCTCTTGCTCCTCACTCCCTCCTGCATGCGGCCTGCTGACACAGCTGCCTGTCAGCTCAGGGCTCAGCGCTCCCCCACACCCTCACTCCTGTTCTAGCCTTGTGGAGCTGCTCAGTGTCCTGGCGACACGCCGAGCCCACCCACCAGCCCCCCAGCATCCCATGGACCTCACTCCTGCCGGCCAGCTCTTGACTTCGTGTCTGGAGTTGGCAGAATGATGCCCCCAAACATGTCCAGGCCTGGCCCCAAGTCTCCGTGGCAAAAGGGGCCTTGCGGCCGTGCTGATGTTCAGGCTCCTGAGGTGGGAGGGGACCCTGGGTTACCTGGTGGGCCAAGTCATCCCGAGGGCCCTTTGGGCGGCAAGGCCAGAGGGCGCGTCCACAAGTTGCCGTGAGGTGGGAGCGGAGGTCACGGTGATCCGGGGCCGTGGGTCAAGTGGTGCGGGCAGCCCCCGGCGGCTCCAGAGGGATCACAGCTCTGCCGACCGGCCTCTGACCTCGGAACGCTAAGATAGTGAGGGGTGTTGCTTTAAACCACCCAGTCTGTGGTAATTTGTTACGGCAGGAGGAGGGGGAAACCAGCGGAGTGTCCTTGGCCCTTGCTGCTTGCTGCCCGCAGTGATGTGCTGGCCCTGACTGCCGCGTGGTCCTGCAGAAGGGGCACCCTCCCCACCCCGTCGCCCTGCTTCGCCCAGCAGATGTTATCTTGTAACCCTAGGGTACCTGGGTGTTTGCTGTTTTCTCGTGGCTCTTTCTGAGGGAAAGTAGCCCGTGAGGGCGGGTCTCTTTTGCCTCTACTTCACCGCTCTCATTCCAGAGGCTAAATAGTCAGTGGATTTTTCTGAAGGCGGCAATGAAGGTCGCATCTGCGCAAACTTGCTTCTTGCCCTTGGCACCCATGTGGGGCCCGCAGGAGCCCCGAGGCCCAGGCCTGCTGCTCTGCCCCGGCTCCCTCCCCCAAGGCCCGCGTCGTGTGAGCCTCCGGACACTTCCCCTTGACCTGAAGAGAGACATCACTGCCCACACGCCTTTCGGGGGCTGGCCGGGCCAGCGCTGGGCCTCGTGGACGTGGGGGGCTGGCGGCCTGGAAGCCTCTTCCCGCATCTTCTTCTTGGGGCTGGAGCAAATGGCCTTGGCACTGGACCCAGAAGATGCTGGGATTCCCCACTGGAGAGAAGGGCATTCTCGACCAGGAGGGCTGCAGGGATCAGGATGGACAATTGTGTGGGAAGGATTATCTGCTCCGTGCGGGGTCGACCTGGAACTGCAGCACATGGGAGCCGAGTGGCAGCCGTGCCAGCAGCAGGGGCCAGGGCCACACCAGGGCCTGTGGGGGTTGGGAAAGAAAGGTGCTGAGTGCTCGCTACCTCTAGACGTGGGACAGTGAGTGTTAGCCCTCTGCAAGGCGCTACCGGCAGGAGGCTCCGGTGTGGGGCTTCTCAGTGTCGGATGGGCCCTCTGTCAGAGCGAGCGGCTGCGCTCCCCCGGGGGACAGCCCTCCCTCGGCTCAGGGTCTTGTCGCATCCCTGCCGCAGCTGCTCGCACTGGCCTGCCCCGGCGAGGTCGGCACCGCCCTCTCCGCGCCTCTCGGGAATGTGGGCAGCGTGTCCTCAGGGCGTCGGGCCCCACTCAGGGCTCTCCCCGGGGCCTCTCGTGCGCGCTTCGTGCAGTGGCCTACAGCTGCCACACACGAGGGGAACACGTCGACTGGGGACAAGAGCAGCGGCCGTTGCTGCCACGAAGCAAATCTGGAGCCAGCATCGGGCCCCAGGGCCTGGCGGTGAGCACCCCAGCCCAAGCGCAGGGCTTTGAGATTCGTCAGTGGGGCGCCGGCGTCGCCACGAGCCGTGTGTCCTCCTTAGCTCCTCCGCGAGCCGGGGCCGGCAGGCCCCTGGGTGCCCCAGTGCCGCGGCTTTTCCTTCCACCACCACCTTGGCGGTGGCCCAGCTCCCTCTTCGGAAATCATTCCACCTCCTCTCCCGCTAGCACCCCGTGGGCGCTGCACGCTGGACCGGGACGGGGTGGCCGATGTGTTTCCGCAGGCCTTTCCTCGCAGATCTAGCTCGAGGTTGCCTTGTGGCGTTGGGAAGACGTCAACATGCGGTCTGGTCAGTGAGGGAGGCCACGTGTAATCACTTAAAGACTTCCGTGGAGCGGGACTCCTAACCCAGGCAGCAGTGTGACTTCTGGAAAGTCTCCACACCGAACCACCGCTCTCACGGTGACTGGTGCTGTGTTTGCGACCCAGAAGCTGGCGCTGTGTTCCCACTGGGAGCAGCACCGTGGGCGCCGAGCAGACCTGATGAGAGGAACGTTCTCACACTCTCTGCTAACAATTGGAGGATCTTCTTGAAGCAGTCCCAGTGACGCAGATGGCTCCTTATTTTTAACCGAAGGGCACTTGCCCCAGATCTGTGCACAAACTGTAGCGGCTGCCATGGAAACGCTCACGGTCCAGAGAGGAACAAAACATTCGGTCCGTCCAGCTTCTCCCTGCCTTGGGCCTGGCTGCCAGGATCGGTCCTGTGCTCTTCCGCTGTCAGCAGCGAGCACAGCGTCAGGATTCCAGTCGCATTTGGTCAGCCCCTGGCTTTTCCCTTCGCTCCTCAAGTGGCTGTGTGGGCTTGGGGAGGGGCGTGGCCGGGAGAGCCCAGGAAAGCCTCCTCGTCCCTGGCAGGCCAAGGGGGAGAAGCCATGGCCCTGCTTTTTGTTCCAAGAAGCGGTTCTCGTAGGGCTGTCCGTTCAGGGGCCCAGGCGGCGAGGGCAGGGATTGCTAGGAGATGGCAGGCCCTGCTTCGGCGCGTGGCTGGACTCAGGCTTTGCAGGCGGGCCGAGGGCGGGAAGGGGCTGAGCCGAGGGGCTGCCGCTTCGGTCGGCTGACGCTGCTCACTGCCCTTAGACTGAGGTCCAGTTGCGGTGTTCTCATGCTTCTTTTCACTTGACATTTACGAAAAGAAGACTAAGCCAGAAGACGGACGGCACGTCGGCCCGTCCTGCCGTTCGCAACCTGGAGGCGCCAGGGCCTGGGCGCATGTCTCGGCCTGGCGTGGCTTTGGCTCGGTCCTGGCCCCTCACTGCCACGCGGGCGCCCGCTGGCCTGGGGCTGCGTCTGCCGTTGCAGAAGGTGGCGGTGCTGCAGGAACGGGAGCGATTGCACTGAGGACTGCAGAGTCGATGCAGCTAGCTGGGGTCGTGCTGGGGGTGCCAGGGAGGCCTCACAGCTTTGAGGGCGAAACGCATCTTCAGAAAAACGCAGACCGTGTCCGAGCACGGCGCGAGCCTCCGGGCCGCCTCTGCTGCGTGCGCGCCGTCGCCAGTCATGCTCTCGTGCTGCCTGGCTTGAGGCAGAAAGGTGTTTGGCGCAAAGAAGAAGGGAAAAAGACCCCTGTTACTTCTGTCTGCATGAGCTGTTGGGGAACTGAATTTGGAAATCAAATAATAAACAGCAGGCCTGAGCGCCTGGGGATGGGCCTCCGTCCGTCAGTGTCGGGAGCACAGGGACACGCGTTTCAAAGCTTCGAACGGGCGTTCGGAGACAATGCCGGCAAGCCGGAGCGCACCGCCCGCCCAAAACAGCCGGCCAGGCGCACAGCTGACTTGCAGGGGATCCCGTCCAATTTTCAGCTGTTCACAGTTCTCTTTAAAAAGAACTTGGGGAAGTTTCTTTTTTGAAAACTTTAATCTTGCCCGTGCTTTGCTTCCAAGTATTTAATTTCACCGAAATGTTAGTTCAGAAAAATCCCTTCCTGGAAATTGTTTTTTTTCTTCATGACCCAGAACTCGAGCGATGGCACTCAGGGGGTGGGTGTTAGCCGTGGGTGAGCTGTACGGCACCCACGTAGAAGGAGCGTGTCGAGAATCTCTGCCGCCGGTTCCTGACGCTGAGTGAAGTGAACTAGTCAAAAACCTGCTTTCATCATACATCGTTTCGCTAAGCGTGGCAGCTGCTCAGAGCCAGCTGACAGCACCAGGCAACGACTCTGCACATCTCTCTGTGCGCCGCCCGGGCGGAGGGTCTGTTCCCTCCGGTAACCCTAACCGCCACGGTGCCCCGTCCACCCTGCCACGCAGCACGCCAGGCGCGCCGCCCCGAGGAAAGCCATCTTGTCTGGCCCGTGGAGCGTCCAGGAAATCATTAAGGAAATTCTTCTAGAACTCTTGGCTTCCGGGACAGGCAGGCAGGCAGGCACATCTGCCTCTTCTGACCTGGCCGAGAGCAGCCCCCAGCGCGCGCATCTGGGACAAGCAGACAGGGAGAGAAACTGCACTTCCCGGTGGCCGAGCCCACCGGACTCACGTGCAGCTCTGAGGCGGACATTCAGTTCCTGGCATCCTTGGGAAGTTAGAGGATAACAAAAGCACCATTCTTCAGCACAGACACGTTCGCCCCGTGTTCGGCCCCACCAGACAGCTTTTCCAGATGGCTCGCACGAATCGGCTTCATCCACACTTCGCTTCCGCTCAGCCTGTCTCGCCATGTGGCTGAGCATATGTTCGTGCGAGCTGTGGAAACTTCCAGTACACTGTTTAATTTTGCTCCCTGGCCTGTGTCTTTCCTGCCCCCCGTGAGCAGTGTGCCCTGTGCTTCTGCTCCCTCCTGTAATCCATTGTTTCCCTTCTCCTTTCTTCTGCTGGCGGATGTTACTTGAGATTTTCCTGGAAGGAGCAGGGCCGTGAAGGAGGGGGATTATCTAGCATGGACGCGTCTGCCGCCCTCGCCTTCTGCCGCCCACCCTCCAGCCCTCGGCAGTAGACTTGAAGTAGGCTCTCGATCACCCAGGAAAACCTCGGAGAACGCAAAAGGCGTGCTTTTAAAACTGTCGGCTTGTCATAGCTGTGTGTGAACTAACGAGCACGAGGCGCACGCGGCTGGCCTGGCGGGGCTCGGCTGGGGGGTCCCCGGGGTCAGACGATCACATGATTAAATGAACGAAGCCCAACAGCTGTGCTCAGTGTTGTTTGTGTCTCTTATTTTATTCCTTACCTTTGACTTGTGTTGATCGATGGCGGAATATTCCAGAAATTGCACTGGGTAAGATGTCTGCTCGGGCGCTAACTTATTTATGGGTCTGCTGGGGCTTCAGTTCTATGACTGCCATAAATCTGAATGGCAGTGCTCAGTCACAGGTGGACACCTAAGCCCACTTGGATTCTTCACCCTGTCCAGCTGCCTCTGTTACTAGTTTTTTCAGTGACATGATTTGGCACCAATTTCCAACACATTTTCAGGAAAGTCATCTTAAGTTAGAGAAGACCTTGTCTAATAAAGCCTGCGACATTCAGCTATTTTCCTTATCCTCTGGGGAACTTGGGCCGGGAGAATGTGCACACTGAGGTCACCGGTGTGCTCTTTCCGTAACCGGGGTTTCTGATTGGCTTGGCAGGCGAGGCTGTCTCCCCGACCCTCCAGCCAGGCTGGTGCCACGCAGGGCCTGACTGGGTGAGGGCCGGCTGACAGGTTGAGTATGGGACGGGCTGCAGGGGCATGAGCAGAGCCCCAGGGAGCAGCGTTGCCGGGTTCCAGAGTCCGGGCCTGGTGGGCAGGACACTGGCTTTGACCAGTGACAGGCTCCTGTCGGGGGGGCACTCCCGCCAATGGGGTTCATTCCCTTGGTGCCTAGTGGAAACCCCAAGAGCCCTGAGGCTCGTTGGCAGCCTCCAGACCAGGCCGGGCTGTCCAAACCTGAGTGAATCTCAGCAGCCCCTGGAGGGGGCTTGTTAAGCCCCAGACCGCTGACCCCCCTCCCCCCAGAGTGGGCAGTGGGGGTCCGATGTCTGCATCTGGAGCAAGCACCAGGGTGGAGATGACCGGGGCAGGGATCCCTGAGGACTGCCGGCCGCCTCAGGGGAGACTTGGCATTCTTTGCCGCACGCGTGTGCCAAACTGCTCCACAGCACTGGGTTAGGAGGAGTCTGGCAGCGCTTACTTCTGCCCAGAAACAGATATGCAAGGCTTCTCTCTTCAGCAGCCTGGGTAGGGTCAGGGGAACACGTTCCTCTTCTTTTCGGGAGGTGGCCCTAGTCTACAGGGAGGACAGGGCATGGGGAGGGCAGGGGCCCCAGGAGCATCTCCAAGCCTGACCTGGCATGCGTAGCTAGTGATGGGGCGAAGGTCGGCAAACGGCACGTCCCCGTCCGGGACCGCCCTGGTGGGACTCAGCGCGGGGCGCGGGCGTGTCCAGAAGGGGCCGCCGCCTCCGTCAGGCCTTTGAGTCCAGCCGGGTCACCGTCCTCCCGGTTCCCAGCCCTGGGGCCGTGCGAGGCTTTGGGCGGCAGCCCGTGGCTGGCCTTCCGCGCCTTTGCTCAGTGTCGTGTGAGCGTCCTGTGCTCCCCGCCCTGCCCGAGCGAAGTGAGCTTCTAGAATGGGCGGGAAAGGACACTCGGTGTTCACGGGGTTTCTGTGTCTGTCTTGCAGAGTCTCGAATATCCAGCAGCAGCTGGCCCAGCTTGAGAGCGAGTCCTGGCCGGGCCTGGCCGAGGCTGACAGGGACCGGCTGCAGCTGGTCAAGGAGAAGGAGGCCCTGCTGCGGGAGCTGCAGCTCATCGTCCAGCAGAAGCGGCCGCTGGAGGACGTGGCCCGGCTGGAGGCGGAGCGGCGGCGGCTGGAGGAGGAGATCCAGCGGGCCCATGCCACCTCGGTGCAGGGCGCCACGGAGAGGTGGGCGGCGGCCCTTTTCAGGCAGGCAGGGGCCGGGCTGCGGCAGGATGCGCTCGCAGGTTGCAGGTTGCATGGCTGGTCGGCGAGCAGCGGAGCGGCCGGCCTGCGACATTCCCCACACGTGCCCCGTTCCTGTCGCCACCGACGGTTTGGTGGACCGAGCAGGAACCTCCTTTCTTTTCCATCTGGGTTGACTCTGCTTCCTTCCCTCGCACACGGCCTTCCCGGATGCCCAGCAGACCGGGACCCTTGCTGGGGACGGGTTTGGGCTGTAGTGGGGGTTCCCCTCCCTGGGTGTTCCACATCAGGGCCCCTCCTTAACCTCGCCACCACATCAGCCTTCTTGCCTCTGGCGTAGCTGCTGTGTCGGCCTTTTCTCCCGCAGCCCTTCCAGAGGGGAGGAAACGCGCCTTCCCAGCAAGGCAGAAACGGCTGAGCTTGCTGTCTGTGGCCTGTAGATACTCTCTAGAACTTAGTCATCCAAACCTACAGCAGTTTGGTGGATTCGTGCTTGAATTTCTTGTCAGGAAAATCTACTCACGATCACTGCACTCCACTGGTGAACCATTCTCTTCCCTACAGGATTCTTCTTCAGGAAAAAAGAAGTTGTCTGCTTATGCAGCTGGAGGAAGCTACTCGCCTGGCATCCTATCTCCAGTCCCAGCTAAGAAGGTGGGTTACTTAGCAGGGGAAACTACACTGAATTACCAGAACCCAGAGGGAACCTACCCTCTGGAGACCGCAGAAGGCCCCGTTGTATTCTAAGACGAGCTGCTCATGTGTGACCGGAGGGCCAAGAGAAGAAGCAAATTTCGTCCCAGCTGCGAGGGTATGCACACACGTGCGAAGGGCAGAGTTTTTAAATGCCATTTCCAAGCTCAGCAGAGCTCCCGTTGGCAGGCGCTTACTGTACTCTGGAGCATAATGTCCAAGGTTTTGTATGTGTTTTTTTCTCAGTGACTCCTGAGAGTGCTAGGGGGCAGGAACTACTGTTATTGCTATAGTTATGTCCCAGTGGGGAAGCAAAAAGCTCAGAGAGGCAAATAATTTGACTAAGCCCACGCAGCGAGCCCATTTGAGCTGACTTGAACTCAGGCGCGAGCCCTTGGTGCCAACACTGCCCCCTGCCGGCAGCCAAGAGAAACACAGGAAATAACCAGCCGGTGCCTTGGATGTGGCTGGCGTTCGCGGGGGCTGGGGGCAGGGGCTGGGTTTCACCCTCCCGGCACAGTGTAGATGTTCTGCTTTGCGTTGGCGATCAGGGCCTCCGACCGCGGGCCTTTCGTTTCAGCCTGTCTGCCAGCACCCTGACCATGTCCTCGGGGAGCAGCCGTGGCTCCTTGGCCTCCAGCCGGGGCTCGCTGGCCTCCAGCCGGGGCTCCTTGAGCTCTGTCAGCTTCACCGACATCTACGGCCTTCCACACTACGAGATGCCTGACCCCGAGTGCAGCCCGCTTCTGCGCTTCGATCTCCTTCCCTTTGAAGCCCTGGGACGAGACGCCTCCTTCCTGGATGCCTCAGGCCCCTCGGGCTTCCCCAAGCACAGGCGCTCCCTGGACACGCCCCAGTCGCTGGCATCCCTGTCCTCCCGCTCCTCCCTGTCCTCCCTGTCTCCCCCGAGTTCCCCCCTGGACACGCCCTACCTCCCGGCCTCCCGTGACTCGCCCTTCGCCCAGGCGGTGGACACTTTTGAGGTGCCAGGCTTGGGTGCCCTGGAAAGACTGCGAGCTCAGGCCTCAATTTTGGGAGATGAAGACTCGCCAGGCACGACGGCCCTGCAGCTGCATGGACCCCCTGGGGACGGGGATGGACCTCGAGAGCGGGGACCCCCAGCTGCTGCTGCCCCAGCGGGTGCAAGTAAGTCTGGTCAGGCCTGATGGGATTGCCCGGGAAGGAAGGCCGGCTCCGGGCAGGAGTTGCCTGTGGCCGCAGGGAAGCCGGCCGGCCCCTCAGGGACATGGCGACCCTCAGGGAGGCTCACCGGGCACCGGAGGCCTTCCGGCCAGTGGCACTGCCGGGCCCCCGGAACCGGTAAAGTGTCTCTTGCAGGGGGTTGGTGTGTTGTCAGGAGGCGCTGAGTTGTCGACAAGGAGGGTGAGAAGCTCGTGGGCTTCTGCGTCCCGATGCCCGTGGAGAGGTGGGCAGCCTCTGTAAGCCCTCCAGGGCTGTGCCCGGGTGGCACAGTCTGGGGCCCGCCCCAGGCCCGTGTGCCCAGCAGACGTGTCACCTGCTCTGTCTCTGTGCCATCATCTCTTCACCCTGGTCCTTGCAGTCCTGAAGGGCGCGCACTGTCAGATGTGGCCACAGGGTGGAGAGGTGTCACTTCAAAGCCGTGCCACGAGCCGTCATCTGCCCGGGATCTTGAGGTCTCTGCCCCTGTGACGCGGGAAACAGGGAGCCACAGGGACCTCCCCTTGGTGTGAATGTGTCCTCCCCTAGGGGCGAGGGTCTGCCAGGCTGGAGCCCACAAGGAGAAGCGAAACAGCAATTCTGAGAACATTGTCTGAGGGCTGGTCACAAGCAGGGTCTGCGCTTCCACTCGCCTCTTCTTGAGCCCACGTGCTCTCCAGGCGCCCCGACTGGAACCCCCGTGGGCTGTACACACAGGGTCGAGAACCTCAGTCCGTCTAGTGGACTTTGACTCTCATGGCACAGAACGGGCCAGCCGCTCCGTCTGGGCGGACGCCCCCTATGTGTGGCAGTCTCAACCAGGGTGTTTCCCCGAGGGAAATGTATGGCCATGTCTGGAGACATTTTCGGCTGTCCCCGGCAGAGCCCGGGGCTGCTTGCCTTCCACCTCCCCTGGGCGCCGGGGCGGAAGGCCCTGCAGGCACGGCTGAGCAGCCGGAGCAGAGGTGAGCCGGAATACGAAACCAGGTGGCAGGGTGGAAGGGGCGGCAGACCAGCAGCTGGGCGCCTCGGCGCTGTGCCCCGCCCTGCCTTGCTCACGGGCTAGACGCGTGGCCCTGAGCGTGTCCCTCGCCGCTGGCTCCCGCCGCTCTGCCCGTGAGCGAGCGCTCTTAGGGCCTGCCTTTCCCCAGCGTCCTGTTCCCCACACTCAGCCGGCAGGCGCCGTGCTCACTAGCGCATGGCCGCCGCTGGGCCTTCCGCGTGGAGCAGAGCAGCGTGATCTCGCCGAGACAGCCCGTGGTCGGCTGGCGCCGCTGTCCTCTCACCTGTTCTGTTCGCATACACGCCTCTCGCCTCCGCGGGCCCGTGGCTTCCGTCACTCACACACACAGGCGGCCTTCTTGCCTTGGTCTTCTCTGCAGCCCTTCAGAGCTGCCTGTTCGCTCCTTTCACCCAGAATGGGAAAGAAGGACAGACGTGCACATCTGCTGTCCCTTAGCCTGCTCCTTGGTGCCTCAGGGCCTCCACTCCCGCGCTCTCTGAGCGCCCAGCTGAGCGCAAGTCCGCATGAAGCCCAAGGGAAAGACGTGGTCAGAGGGGAAAGGGCTGACCCAGCCTCAGCCTGGTCTTTTCTTCAGCACCAGACCGGACGGCTTAGGGGTTCAGGCTCCAGGCTCCTGAGGAGGCGAGGGCTGTGTGGATACTGCCACCTGGGGGGGCGGGGAGGCGGCATTGGGGATTGGGGCATTGGCTCGCCTTCACAAAGCGGGAGCCAGGGACTCCGGGGTGAGTGTTGCTGGCGCTCCCAGGGGCCTGGGCTGGGAAACCAGCTCCAGGCGGGACACAGGGCGACCTCTTTCCCTTGATGTCGGTGGGAACGCCCAGAGCCTTCCTTGCTTCAGATAGGGGAGATTCTGAGTTCCCATCCTTTACTCCCCTCCCCATCAGGGGCATAGCTCCCTGGGGCCAGGCCGGCTGGGAACTGTGGTGCAAGTGTGGCCACAGGCAACTTGGAGGGAGATAACATTCAGAGTTGCCCGGCCCAGAGTTCCCCTGTGATTTCTGCCACTGCGTTTTAAGTCAGTCTTAGGATCCAGACAGGGCTGGGGAGTGGGGAAATAGACTGATCTTTTAACATTTTTGACATTTTTACCACAGCCCTATCTTCCCTAGATTTTAAAAGCCGGTTGTGTCACCATTGTGCAATCCTTTTCCATTTTCATTACCCACTGGTCTTTGCTAAGCTAATCCGCCAGACCTGAGACTTTGCCCCTCTGCCTGTTGACATGTGTATTATATTGAGCTGTTTAAAATTGTTGGCTTAAGTTCTGCAGTTTTTCACTTTGTGCTTTTTTATCTCTTTTCTTTCCTGCGGCTCCACAGAGACATTCACTGTAAGTGGTCTTGGACTTCTTCACCTTGCGCTCAGGCTGCGGGACGGCTCTGTAACGTGCACCAGTGCGCCCGGCGTGGTCGGGCAGAGGCCGAGGAGGGCCTGCGTTAGTGTGCTTTAAAGCGGCGCCTCAGCAAAGCTGCTGCATGCCCGTCATCTTTATTATTTCAACATGAATGTTCACCATGGCCCCTGAAGTTGCGTGAGGACTTTTCTAGAAGCTTTACGTACTTATTTCTCTAGGTGTTTCCCGAAGTGTCATGCCGGTCATTTCAGCACACAGCCGGCAGCTCCGCCCACAATGTGAGGGTCGTTTTCTTCGTATTTGTCAAGCAGTGTCTGTCCTGAGGGCTCAGCGTCTGTCTCTGTCTGTCTGTAATGATGGGAAGGTCCGAGATGTTTTTCATGAATGTTTGCAGTTTTTACTCCCGACTTCGCCAGCCTTGTCCCCAGGGTCACAGCGTTGCCGAGAAGGTGGGAGCAGGCGGCTGGGGGTGTGGCGTGGGCTCGCCCCGCGCCCTGTGTGCGCCTGAGTCCACTCTGAGTGCAGTGGCAGAGGCCTGAGGCCCAGGCTGCCTCCTTGGTTTCCTCTGCGAGCAGAGGGTGCAGTCTGTGGGCTGCCCAGAGCGCCCAAGGCGGTCTCAGGCTGTCTCTTCCTAGAGGGGCCTAGCCAGGCAGTTTCATCTGCTGGGGAGCGCCGCCACAGACCGAGGGTTCCACCTCTGCCATGCGGAGCCGGCGCTTTGGGCCCATCCATGCGGGGAGGGGTGGGGGGCGGCCAGGAAGGACTGGACTGGGAGGCTGGGCCTTCAGTTCGAGCGTCTGTGCCCCTGCCCCAGAATGGAGCCAGCACTGGTCTCCGCCCGGAAGGCCTGGGGGGGCCCGGTGGTCTGGGCTGGCAGAGCGGCGCTCCAGGGCAGCCGTGCTCCACGCCCACCTCCCTCCGTGAGCTGGGGTCGGACCACTGTGTGGCTGAACTTGCTGTGGCCTTGCGCTCGCACATGCGCACGGCGCACTTTCGGTGTCTGGAGCTTAGACCGCTGACGACAAGGCCAGAGAGGAGGCCTGGGGCCTGCGTGGCGATAGCTGGTGTGACAGTAGCAGAGGCAGGCTGGCCGGGGCCTCCTGTTTGCGTTGGCCGGGCCAGGGGCGCCTTCCCCAGAAGCGGCGTGTGGGGCTTACTGGCTGCCACAGGAAGCCAGTAAGGAAGGTGCTCAGAAGTCAAGGGGAGATGGCTCTTGGTTGAACTAGGTGGGGTAGGTGTGAGCTGCCTGTGAACGGCCACTTTCTCTCCTGGGAGTGTGTTCTGGAAGCTCTCTCAGCTCACCAGCCGTCAGCCGCTGCTAGGCTCAAGGGTAAGGGCGCTGCATGTCGTTAGGGTTTATTTAGAGCATTAAAGAAAACTCTCTGGTAAAGCAGCATAGTGGGTGTGCAGCATACAAATACCAAACAGATTAGAAGGGATGGAGCAATTCTCCCCCCTACCACTTCACTCTCGTGGTGACTTTTTGCCCCTCTGGGGTGAGGCCATCTCAGAGTGCCTGGCCAAAGGGCTTCCACCTGCATCCTAGCTCGTTGTGCCCACGAAGGAGGTGAGCAGAGTTCACGACACGGTGAGAACCGCGGAAGGGGCGGCCAGGGGTCTGTGGCTTCAGTGTTCCATGTTAAGACGCGCTGCGTGCTGCGTAGCTCCGCGGATGCGCCTGCGCAACACGGCCTGGCTCCGGGCCCCACGGCCTGGCGGTGCTGTACCTTCAAGGGTGCGTTTCTTGGCCGTGCCCTCCTGACCCCGGGGTCTCTCATTTGCAGCTGTGACCCTTCGGGAAGACAGCGCCAGGAGCCTGGAGAGGAGGGCACGCCGTGCCTCTGCCTGCCTGTCGGAGCACTCGCTGGCCAGTGACAGCGGGGTGTTCGAGCCGCCACCCAAGAGGTCAGGACCGGGTCTTCTCTCCTCCCGAGGTGGGGGGCAGGGCTGCTGGCACTGAAGGGACGCCGGGCCGGCGTCTGTGGCGGGAGTCTGTGCGGTTCCCTCCGGGGTGGCATCTGTTTCTGGCTTCCCGAAGCTTCAGGGCTGGGCCTGCCGGGATCCTGCTGAGGACTCCCTGGCTTCTCTGCTGAAGTGAGGCTGATCCATCCCGCATCCCAGGGAGACTCCTTTCTTTCTGGCCTGCTGGATGCAAGGCGGAGGCCAAGTGGAGTGGAAAGGGAGCCTCGGTGCGAGAGGGAAACCTGTTGTCTCGAAGGGACAGCGCTAGAAAGGAATTTCCTCCTCGCTGCCTCCTTTCCTCCAGCCCCCCCTTGCAGACAGACAGCTCTTGGGCGCCTGGGCTTTAATTCGGGACACTTTGCTGTCACTGCAAGGAGTGACACACACGTAGTGCACATTTTTTAGTGTGTTTTGAACTTTGTCCTGAATGTCACATGTGTTTTGGAGAGGTTGCGAGGCTATTTTCTCAAAACAGCAGATACCTGATGAGATTACGCCCCGGCTCCTGGCACCTGACCTGCCTTCTGTCGCTTAAGGAATTTATTTTCCACATGACACATTAATAAAGCGCTCCTCAGAGAGGAGCGCCTCTCTGAGGAGCGCTCCCAAGCGCCAGCACGTGTTTGCCCAGCACGCGGCCACCAGTTTCCTTCGGGTGATGGTGGCTTTCGGCTTTCTGTTGTGCTCAGGAGCGAAGACGCCGAGGAGTCTGCCCCAGCGGACGCCTTTGCGAGTGAAGGGCCCCAGATCCGCGTGGGGTTTTTGTGAGTACAGACGTCTCCTTCCTGGGGCTCGTGAGGACACCCTGTAGACAGGGCCCCCGGAGACGCCTGCCTCTCCGTCCAGGCCTCCTCAGCTGGGTACCCCAGCCCGCTTCATCTGGCCTCGGCTCAGGGGACAGAGGTGGCAGGAAGATCAGACAGGCGGGCAGCTCCCGCGCTTTTCCAGCACGAGTCTCGGCTGGGAGCTGTTGCCTGCTGGAATGGGGCGTTCTCTCCCTTTCCGCCCGAGTCGAGTGTATTGGCCACGAGACATGTAGCTGGGCCCTCCCCGCGGCCCGGGGTGAGAGCCAGGTGTTTGGAGGCCTGGGGTGCTTGGCAGTGTCAACAGGGGCCAGGCAGGGTCTCGCGGCCTGCGGCTCGCGCCTGTCATTCAGGCCTGGTGTTGGCCCTTTGGGGCCTGCATCTGTGGGGGTGTGCTGGGTATTGCAGGCTGGGCAACAGCACCTCTGCTGCCTCGTCTCCTGACACGGCTCACATGCCCTGGGTGGGCGAGACTCTTCACCCTCGGGCGGGGGCGCTGCCGCCGAGGAACAGGGACTCGGCCCATGGGCGCGCCTGTCTTGACCTGGCCTTGTGTTTCTAGGCACGACAACGCCGGGGAATGCCTGCTCGTGCACGTGCTGCAGCTGAAGCCCTCCACCCGGCTGCTGGTGAGGGAAGACTGCAAAATGTAAGCCCCTGAGCCAGGCCCAGACCTTCCCGGGAGTCGGAACACCGCTTGCCGGCCTCGGGGCCAGGCAATTTAGGGAGGGAAAGAGACTGTTTTAGAACATGTGTTTACCATGAAACGCGAGGAAACATCCTTCTGAAATGTAAGGGACTACAGCTTTTAAGGGTTGAGTTTGTCCTCTGAGACCGAGGAAGCGCTGAGTGTGGCCGGCCCCCTGCTGCAGCCAGCTCTGGGATGCTGTATTCGGCAGCCTCGGGGTTTCCAGTATCCGGGCCAGTAAGAGGCACGTGCAGGCCTCTGGCTGAGATCCGGGCTGTCTTGGGAGAGCAGCCTCACAGGGATGCCCGGCAGGGCCTACCTCAGGCAGTGACTGCCTGACCTGGTCCAGCCTTCTAAGCACCCAAAGGTAAAGGCCTGTGGAGCGCTCTGGTCTCGGGCCTGCGGTTGGCCGTGGCGTGGGCTCCCCTGACAGTGAGCTGCGCAGCGCTAACCCCAGTGTGCTGGGGCACAGGGGACGGGGCAGGACAGCCAGTCAGTGGGGGCCTAGTCGGGGACCCAGACTGTGAACTGAGGTGGGTGGATCTTGAGAGGGGTCACGGCACCGTGGACAGGTCAGTGCTGGCCTCTGCCTAAAAGATGGGGAGCAGAGCCTCTGGTGTCCCCATCCCCAGAAAAGGCCGTTGACTTTGAAGTCTTTTTCTTTGTGAATGGCTCCCATACCCCCTCCACCCCCCACCTCAGAATCTCCAGGGCGTGAAGTCCTTTGCCTAACTCTTACCTGAGAAAAGAACCTTGTAGTCCCGCCATGGGCCTCACAGAGGGAGGAGGAAGTGGGTGCGCACTTTTGCTGCGCGCAGATGCGTCCAGACGTCACATCCCTCTCTCTGCTCTTCCCTCCCTCCCTCTCTCTCTGGTTCCAGACACATCCGTGTCTATTTGCCGCCACACGACTCCAGCACGCCAAACACGTACTGCTCGAAGGCTCTGGAAGTCCACGGTCCCCTGGTATTTAATGATGTTTTCAGGATCCCGGTGCATTCAAGCATGTCGACTTTGAAGTCACTTCAGCTCTACGTGTGCTCGGTGAATCAGCAGCTGCAGGAAGAGCTTCTGGTACAGCCCTGCTTCCGCTGCCCGCCTCTGCCCCGTCGGCCTGGCTTCTCCCCCGCCCTGGCACCCGACTCCCTCTGTCTTTCCAGCTCTGTCCTGTCTTGTTTTGTGCCTCTGTCTCCCTCCCTCTTCTGTCCTCCCGCCCGTCGCTCCCTCTGGCATCCCTTCCCTCAATTCTTCATTTCTCCCCTCCTTTGTTGTGCCCGGGACAGTTGCGTGGACATGACTGTAGCCGGGGGTACAGAGAGGGACGGGAAAGCCTGCTGCCTAGTCAAGCTGGTGAAAGCTGGGGACTTGCTGCGCTTGGGGAACTGCCCCTGGGCAGCGAGATGACAGTGGGCCGCGCCCCCTCTCCCCCGCCCCCCCGCAGATGTTGCCAAGGGCAGCAGGCCTTAGCCCAGCCCAGCACTCCAGCTTGCTCCTTTCCCCCGTGTCCCTCCTCGCACCTGCCCATGGGGTTGAGCCGGCACCGCGGGAGGCGCCCTCTTCAGGGTTCTCTGCAGCTCCCCCCATCTCACTGCAGCCGCGTGAAGAGCAGGGCCACGTGTGACCCCCTTTCCGGTCAGGGTGGCTGCCGCGTGCAGTGGCGGTAGGGAATCATGGCGCTGTTCTCTCCGCCACCGTGCAGGGCATTGCTCAGATCTGTGTGGCCAACCGTGACATTGCGAATGAAATGCAGCTGCGGTGGTACTCGGTCCAGATGTTCACCAGCTCCGAGCTGCCCAGGGAGAGGGACAGCCAGCGCGCGGTGGCAAGTGCGCCCCGGGACCCCGCGTGTCCTGCACCCGGCCCCTGTGGCGCTGGGAAGACGGTGAGTGGCCCTGCTCCGGGAGCCGCCGGCCTGCTTTCCTGACCGCGATGCTGGCTTCCCTGCAGCGGCCGCTCCCAGAAGCGCGTGTGTGGGCTGCAGTTTGCTGTCTCGTCAGCAGAGTGTCGAGGGGGTGATGAATGGGGCGCGGCAGCCGGGCCGAGACAGCGTTTAGCGCAGGCGTGTCCTTGGCGGTGAGCTTGAGCCCAGGAGCCGTGTTGTCAGTGGGGCGAATGTGTTCCCTTGGAGGAGCCGTCGGGGTGCCAGCCGCCTGCAACCTGGGCCCCAGCCGCGCCCCGGGCTGGCTGCGGGTGGTGCCGCCGCGGTGCGCGAGCGGGCTCCGAGTGTCCGCTCCTTCCGCAGGACGCGGTGACGGCGCTGCTGGCTCGGACCACGGCCCAGCTGCAGGCGGTGGAGCGGGAGCTGGCCGAGGAGCGTGTGCGGCTGGAGCACACGGAGGAGGAGATGCTGGAGCTGGAGCGCAAGGAGGAGCAGGCGGAGGCGGTGTCCGAGAGGTGGGGCCGCGGGGCGCCGGGCAGGGTCTGCGGCTCTCTCCCAGCAGCCGCGCTGGGCAGCAGACGCACTCTCTTCTGCACGTCAGCCGAACGTGCTGGGCGGTCCTGTGTGCTGGGCGGGCTCTCTGGCCATTAACACTGATCTGGACCAGGACAGCGCCTCAGCCTCTGTCCCCAAGTCTCCAGTGGGCTTTGGCTGGGCCCGTTTCCTGTTCCGAAGTGTCCGTTCTGCGGGACTGGCCACGATGCCATGCCTCCGGGCAGCCTTCTCCAGCAGCCTCGGGTGGTGTGACCTCCACGCACACCGTGTGCGTGCGTTTGGGCAGCCCCGTGGTGGCTAGTGGCCACGGAGCTGTGGCTCGGCACGTCAGTCTCAGGGTATTTTCCTGCATGTGGGAAAGAAACGCCATTAGCCACCACCCCGGGCCAGCCCTCTGCCCCTGGCCACTTGCCAGCTAGCCTTCTCGCCAGGCGGCCTGTCCCGGCGTGTCCCTTTGGCGTCACATGCTGATGATCCAAGCGGCTGCCCCTGAGCGCCTGGCCGGGGGCCTGTCGGCAGTAGGGACCGGCGCCCAGCACCTGCTGTCAGGGGCTCTCAGCCTCCCCAAAAGCCCCAGAACCTTGGGGTGGGAAGTCAAGGTGGGCCCCTTCGGCGGCTGCCAGGGGGTGGTAAACGTGAACCCGCTTATCAGAAGGCTGTAGTGTGGTCCCGGGGAAACAGGCCTCTCACTCGATGGGAAAAGTGGCCGTCCTCAGCCCCGCAGCCTGCCCACAGCCTGCGGGCCGGCTGCGCGGGCCCTGACGCAGCGCCTGTTCGCGAGCGGCTCCCGGACTTTGACGATGCGCACCCTCAGGAGCTGGCAGGCCGACTCGGCGGACAGCGGCTGTAGCAGCTGTGCCCAGACCAGCCCCCCACACCCCGAGCCCTGCGGCAAGGGCACTGACGCCGCCCCCGGACGTGGCCCGGCCGACCCTGACAGCCCCGAGAAACCGCAGCCTCCATCCGTGAAGGTGAGTAGAGCGGTCGTGGGGTCGAGCGAGCCCCTGCGCATCTCTGCATGCCGGGCGCTGCCCTGGGAGGGGCTGTGTGACCACGAGCCCTGAGGGAACGGCAGAGGGGACTGCAAAGGAAACTGAAGCAAGCCCTCGTGTGCAGGGCTCGGGGGGCTGCTGGTGACGGGTGCCCTCGGTCCAGCCATGGGCCTGTGGGCTCTTTCCACCTGGTGGCTCTTTGGGTCGGGCCGCCGTGAACATCCATGCGCAAATCTTGTTGAACACGTGTCATCAGGTTTTGGGGTGTCTATCTAGGAGCAGAACTGCTGGGCCTGGCTGCAGTCCCACAAGGTTCCCTTTGCCGGGGGAGCAGAGCTTGGAGCCGGAGGGAGGCGTGAGCTCAGGGATGTGGGGGAGACGCCACCCCGCTCCTCAGACATCAGATGGGGGTGACCCAGACAGGGGGGCCTCGACAAACCCCTCTTGAACAGAGCCAACAGGGGTCAGATCGGGGCCGGGGCCGCAGCATCGGAGAAGGGAGGCACCACGGTTTGTCTTTCCCACGCGAACAGATGAAAAGTGGAGCGTCTCAGCTGGGGCGAGATGCGGGGGGGTCTTAGACGTCCAGTCTGGGACATGTGACGGGCGGAGAGTTGGCCGGTTAGAACCCCCAGGGCGATGGCGACGCGGAGGTGGTTGTTTACGTGAGGTTGACTGCTGTGCTCGAGCAAAGTCATGGTGAAAGGAATGACTCTCTAGGTTGACAAGGAGACTGACACGGGAGACCTGTTCCCTGGAGAAGTAGCCGGGCTGCTGCAGGAGAGGCCCAGCCGCAGGGCCCGCGGCCCGCCCTTCGTGCGGGGCGGCAGCATCGTCCGCTCGCAGACCTTCTCGCCCGGAGCGCGGAGCCAGTACGTGTGCCGGGTAAGTGCCTGTGCAGCCCGCGCTCTCCCCGACCTTTGTCGTGTTTTACGTTTTACTGTTTATGCCAAGAGGCGTGTGTCCTCACAAACGATAGCGATGCACCAGCGCTGGGTGTGTGTGGACCTGAACTCGGCGCCTCCCCCACCCCGGGCTTACCTGGCCCCGATTTCCCCCCACTGTGCAGTCCCGCCGAGGGTCAGTTTGCACACGCACCCGCTGGTAGGGGAGTGGGCCAGCGGGTAGCCCCACGTCAGCGTGAGGGAATGGCCGCTGGAAACGGACTGCCCTGACCTAGGCCGCGATCGGGCAGCCCGGTTCCGCTGAGGGGCTGGGAGCCCCGGAAGTGTGTCAGATTCCCAGGGAGGATGGCACCTTGAAGATAGTGGACTTCAAGCTGATTGCCTGCCTGGCTGGCCTTAGCCCCCAGCCCCTCCGAAGCTTAAGCTGAGGGCCCCCCTTGGTGCTCCACCCCCCAGCTCACCACCTTGTTAGCAGAGACTGTGGGGCCTGGCCCGAGGGCCTCAGGTAAACAAAGACTCTAATGCAGAGTATTCTAGGGGGGTGCAGGTCCCCTCTAGGGAGCTGGGCCCAGGCCCAGCCTTCTTGGGCCAAGGCTGGTCCTCTCCTGTGATGGCAGGGCCTGGGGCCTGGGTAGCCCCAGCCGCCCCTGCCAGGTTGGCCACATGTCTGGAGAGCAGCTGCCCAGGTCAGGCCCAGGCCTGGTGGCAGGGCTCGCCGGATCAAAGGCCATCCTCATGTCCTTTCCTTATTCTAGACTCTTGTCAAACCACCACAGAGCTGGCTCACGGCTGCTTACTTAGGTGAATGGGGTGACAAAGGAGGAAGCCCCCAGGAAAGGTGTGTCCCCTCCGGGGCCGACTCAGCCCCCTGCATGAAGGTGGGCCTTGATTGGGGATGTCTTCAGAGATCCCCTTGTTTTACATGTTTGTAATGGGGGGCTGTGACTGGCTTGGAAAATAAGGCCCTGCAGGCCAGGCCTTTGGCTTCCACACAGACACATAGCTACTGAGGTGGAGCCCGCCGCCACAGAGAAGGCCTGGTGGCTTTCCCTTGGAGAAGCAGGCCTTCGCCCTGACCTTGGTGGTGTTGGCTTGTCCTGCCACCAGGAATGAGCTCCTTGCTGAAAAGCCACTTTGCCTAGCATTTGGCCAAAGCCAGAAATGCAGCCAGAGAGTGATGGAGATGTGGAGCACCAAGGCCGCGCTGGCTGTCGGGAGTGTGACACGCTCTGTCCGGTCTCGGCTGGTGCTGACAGGAACAGTGCTTTTGTGGACTCCCTTGGCTGGAAACTTCATGCGGTGTGGTGGAGGGCTGAGGGCGGGGCTCGCTGGTTTGGTTCGTCTTTCGTTTTACTTGAAACTCTTGTGTGGGCTTTGTTGTAACTGAAGTCAGAAGTCTGGGCGAAAGCACCACAGACCCTAAGTGACCGTGAGCAGTGATGAAACCCTGCCACGCAGAGCCGGGGGTCGGCCGACAGCGGACGCCTGGGAACATGTTTGTAAACGTCACTCTTTTTGATGCAGCTCTATCGTAGCGACAGCGACAGTTCCACGCTGCCCCGGAAGTCTCCCTTTGTCCGGAATACTCTGGAAAGACGAACCCTTCGCTACAAGCAGGTGCGTGTCATGTAAGCCAATAAACTGTGCCTACCCTGGGGGTTATGTTCATAAGCCTTCAAAAGCAGTGTTTTAGGTAATGTTAAAAGGTAATATATTTATTTCTTCACTTAAATACCGGTTTTGAAAGTGCTGTCTCATAATATCACTGATATTTCTTAAATTTAAGATACGATTTGGCTAGCTCATCGCTTTGAATATTTTATTGACTTTTTAAAGAGTTATTTATTTGTGCATACAGAACAGGCCAGAGGTGCAGGGGGTGAGAGGATTCACCAGAGACACAGTGGGGAGCGGGACAGGCAGCTGGATTGAAGTACACTGCTGAGGGGCGAGACAGGAGAGGTCTGCCACGCCATGGGGGTCACCTCCCAGGCTGGGGAGCGACCTTGCGCTGAAGCTGCGCTTCATCGTTGCGCCACCAGGGAGGGCACACTTTGGGTATTTTAAATAGCGCAGATTACTAATGAACCAGCTACGCCGTGTACAGTCTTTTCCCTCCCTGCCGGCCAGTGTGCACAGGTTGCGAAGCTGAGCGTTCCCACGCCGCTCAAGCTTCTGCGTCGGGCTGCTCCGTGCCTTTCCGTCCCCTCAGCCACCAGGGCTTCTCCCCGCTTCACGTCAGTTTGGCAGTCCTGCGCTCTTTTCCCAGGAGACCTGGCTGGCTGCACGCCGGTCACGGTCACTGGTCTCCCGCAGCCCTGCAGGTCTTCCCTGGCCGCACTCATGGCCCGCACCTCCCTGGACCTGGAGCTGGATCTCCAGGCGTCGAGGACGCGGCAGCGGCAGCTGAACGAGGAGCTCTGCGCCCTGCGTGAGCTGCGGCAGCGGCTGGAGGACGCCCAGCTGCGTGGCCAGACCGACTTCCCGCACTGGCTGCTGCGGGACGAGCGCTTCCGCACTCTGCTGAAGGAGGCCGAGAAGCAGGTAGGAGGCCGAGAAGCAGGTAGGAGGCCAGGGCCTTCGGGCCCGGGCGCTGCCTGGTCTGGGTCCGCTGCCCTCGGCGCGGGCGGTGCTCCGGCTCCCGAGGAGGAAGGGCGGCTGCCCAGAGGGCCGCTTCGGCCCCCCCCCCCCTGCGCATCGGGAGAGCTGGCCGCTGGCGGGAGGGTCCTCGGCCTCCTGCCAGAGGCCCACTGCCCACCTGGTGCTGGGGCCCCGCCGCACGGGCGCTGGGGCTGGGCTCGGCTGCTGCCCCCTCGCCAGAGCTAGCAGTGCAGCGCCGTGCTCCGCGCTTTTGCCTGCAGACAAGACAGACCGAAGGCGACGTGCGCCGGGAGCAGGCAGCGGAGAAGACGCTGAAGAAGGCCTCCAAAGGCATCTGCCGGCTGCGCGCGCAGAACCACAAGGAGCACGCGCACGTGCAGACCTTCAGGTGGGCAGCGGCCGCGCGGGCGCCGCGCCCGCCTGCCGATCACCCCAGCTTCCCTGTGGCCCCGCTGGGGCAGGAAGCGGGCGGGCGAACCCGGCAGGCGGCGGCGCGTTTCCTCGACCTTTGCCCCCCAGGCGTGTGCCACTTGCATTTTATAATGTGATTCGGCGTCGCCGTGCGCGTTAAACGTTCAAACACCGAGCTGGCGCGCCTCGTCCTCTCGCCTGCTAGAGAGACGGTCTGCGGCCGTGTGAAGGCCGCTGCTTTCTGCCCCACGCTCGTAAATGATGCGGATGGACAGAGGTGCCCACACCCGGGCCCGCGTTGTCTCTGACCGAAGCCCGACACACGTGGCGGCAGGGCACGCACCCTGCGCGTCATGCAGTCTGTGGGCTCTCAAGGCGCACGGCGAGAGCCCAGCATGGGCAGCGCCCCAGGACCCCCCGCCCCAGAATTTCAGTAGCCTCGGTTTGCTCTCTCTGGTTTTGCTTTTTTAAAAGAGGACGACTGCGTGGCTTCGTCTACATTCTTCTTTTTGAATAGCTGTAATCTTTCGTGTCTGACTTTTCCAAAGTGGAGGTGCAGCCACGTTGTCGCCTGTCTTGGGACTTCGTTCCTTTTCTCGGCGGGTAATACGTGCGTGGCTTCTCGTTTTTGTGTGCCCTGAATTTTTACATCTCCATCATAAAGGGGCATAAACATCAGCAGCTAACTTCCTTCATTCACGATTAAACCCTCCCGTGTGTACGGTTTTCACCCGTTCATTTATTACCAAAGCGGATACTTACCTCACACCAGGCACCGTCCCAGGCCCTGGCGGTCAACAAACCCTCGCCTCAGGAGACGGGCAGCCTGTTAATGTTTAGAGAATCTGCAAACAAACGTTTCGTCTGTTCAGGAGGCAGAAAAGCTGTCGCGGCCCCTCACGGCCAGCCTGTAACCTCCTTTGCAACCCCAGGGAGAAGATCGCATTCTTCACGAGACCGAGGATCAGCGTGCCGCCTCTGCCCGCCGACGACGTCTGACCCAGTGCTTTGTCATGGAGTGCTTCTTTGCCCGCTTCGTTTTCATGAAGTTCTTAGATTAGTTAAATTTGCCTTTAAAATATTTGTGCAAAACTATTAATATACACGTTTTGTAAAAATCAGAACAAACACATATATCTATACATATATATTTTATAATAGCGACGACAACAGGGCTCGGTTTTTCCCTGTTGTGAAATTGGCATCTCTGAAGACAGGTTATTTTATAAGAGATCAACTATCATGTTAAGAGTGTACAGTTTTTACACTGTTTTATTTGACTTAAAGGCTGGAAGACAGAAACGAAGTGAGTTCAGGCAAATTCACTATATTGTAACTTATTTATAGTACTTTTTTTCCTTGAAGGAAAATCCTGACGTTGAGATGTATTTTAAGACTGAATCTTGTTCCTCAGTACTTGTCACGAAGTAGAATGGAACCTTTGGCCGCTTCTGTTCCTGACACCGGCCCCGCAAACACGACGCGCACAGCTCCTCACTGTGTCTGGCGAGCGCGTGTGTGCCCGGGGCAGCGCTGCGTGTCCTGTGTAGACGGCAGCGGCCGCGCACAGGCCGGAGCCCAGGCCCGTGCGCTGCCCGCCCCTTGCTTCTCTGTTGTCTGATCTGCCGCTTCCCCGAGCGCTCGAGTCTGCAGGCCGCAGGCCCCGCTGCCTGGGTGCCGCCTGCCTGCCTGCCTGCCTGCCCAGGGCGGCCCCACTGCCCACCTCGCCCGGCCCGCAGGCGGCGCCACCTTCCAGCCTGCGCCTTCCGGTGAGGGCGACTGCGAGGTGGCAGTCGTGCCCTGCCCGGCCGGCCCGTCGGCCCTCTGACCATGGGCGGCGCAGCCTGGGTAGCCGGCCCCGCGGTGCTCTGGTGGAGGGAGGCGGCTGGGTCGCTAGACTCGCCCCGCCGGCCGCTTGCAGGAGAGGATTTGGTCGCAGTCGGATAGCCCCTCCTCGTGGAGTCTACCCCGCATTTCTCACGAAATCATTGGACTAGTTCTCAAATTTTTTTATGTAATAAAAATATATCCTTATTCTCTTAAATGCCAACTGATAACAATATTTTTGCCTGGTACCTATTTATTTCGTGCGGAAGGCACGCGCCTTCCGAGCGCCTACGCAGGCGGGCGCGGCGGCCGCAGGAAACGCGCAGGCAGCTGAACTCCCCCCGCCCCCCACCCGCGCCCTCTCGGCGCGCGCCGGGCCGCCCCGTTCATCAGCGTCTGTCCTCGTTAGTCCGTGACCACCGCCCCTCGCAGACCTCCCGCCACGCTACTTGTGTTAAAATGGATTTTGTGAAGGCATTTCACTGGCATGTTCAGCGGCTCTTGGCGGTGAGACCCAAACTGCTTTCCGCAGTGGCCATCCCTTGCGCTGGGTTCCCGCTTCTGCTCGCTGTCTTCGCTTGCGTTTTTCATGGCAAATTCTCTGTGCGCACCCACAGCAGAGGTCGAGCCCCAACCGCGGGTGCTGGCCAGCGCCGCCGGTGCCCACGCGACTCCTGCCCCCGGGGGCCGCCTCGCCCCGGCGGCCCTGTTCGACGGCGGTGTGGGGGAGCCCGGTGCGCCCGGGTTTCCTCTCGACACGCCGCGGCCCCTGCCCGCAGGGCTCGGACCCGAAAGCGCAGCCCAGCCCCACCAGACTCGGGCCGCCTCCGTCCAGCCCCGACTGCAAAGTGCCGGCCCGGAAAGATGCTGCTGGCAGGAAGCGGAGCCCTGGCGCCACGTCGACAGCGTCCGCCCTCGTGTCGCATGGCCGGCGGCCGGCCAGCGCCTCTGGCCCAAGCGCCCTGAGTTCACCACCGGCCCCGGACGGCAGCGAGTCCCGGATGCGGTCTCGGCCTCAAGGAATCACCAGTCACGGCGGCGCGAAGCACCTTCTGCTGTGGGATGACTGATAATCAGCATTCATGTCTGTTTGTCTCTGTCCTCGAGTTGTGGCATTTGTACTGTTTGTCATTTCTTCTATAAAATTAAACTAACCTACCTGGAGACAGTGCAGGTGTGTGACTGGGAAGTGTCTCATTACAGAGACTTCCCACTGCGAGTACTCGGTGCTAGCAGCATGCAGTGGGGGTGGCACTGACTGGCAAATGCCCCCCCCAAAGCCCCACCCCCACGGAGCCGCGGGTGCGCGTGGCTTCCATAGCTCCGGGTTCAATGGCAGGTGATAGCCGTCCTGGGGGCTTGCGGTCTACAGGTCTGGTTTCATCTGCAGGCTCCGCCGTCCCCTCACCCCGCATATCCGTACCCCCTGCACTTTGTGGAAAAGTGAGGCACACATCTGCCTTCTCCCCGGCCGGATAAATTACAGTGCCCCCAAAATACACTGTTCTGGCTTTTCTCACGTCCAGGCACAGTCGGCCTCAGCGTCTTTCTCCTCACCATTGTGAAGGGCATCTCAGAGCTCATCAGACTCTGCATTGACTGCTGTGACGATGCACACAAGCAGCAGATGTGGCGTCTTTCTCACTTCTAGAAGCCTCGAGCCTGAAGCCCGGGAGTGCATAGTGCTGTGCTCCCTGCTAGGGCCTCGGGGTGAATCCTGCCCGCCTCTTGGAGCCTCTGCAGTTGCCTGCAGCCCTTGGCAGGCTCAGGTACGGGGCGCCACCCCTGTCCGCATCTTCACGACGCCCTGTCTGTGGTGGGTTTTCAGCCCACTCACAGACCAAGGACCCGCAGCTTGCGCTCTCTAAATCAGTTAGCTTGGCCAAGGCTTTTCTCTCAATCTGGTTTCACAATGGCCGGGGCACAGTTACCTGTGGGAGGGCCCCAGCCCAAGGTTCCACAGACAAAAGGCACCCCCTCCCCCAGGGCGGTCCTTCCCCTCCCCCAGGCCACGGCCAGCGTAGCTGTACCCGGCTTCATGCCATCTGATGCCAGTTTCTAGTCGCCTCCCGTTACAAAGTGCGCACACAGTGAAGCCGCTGCAGGCATCCTGGCATGTGTTTGCCAGGGCTTCTGTAGGGCAGAGCCCAGGAAGTGGGGCCTCCTGCTCAGAGCACGTGGAACTGGGTGTCGCCACAGTCTCGAGGGGCAGTGCGGTGTCCTCACTGGGCTGTAGGCAAGTGTCTCTCGCTAGCACTCAGCTGGTCTGCCCTCCGCAGAGGTGCTGGCGGGGAGTCTCCGCGCGTTTTGCTCCTGGACAAGGCCGCTGCTCTGTCGGCCGGTCGGCTTGCTGCGTGTCTCGGAGGCCAGCCGCCTGCCTGTTCAGGGTTTTCCTGGCTATTCTTGCTCATTTGCTCTTATTTGTAAGAACTGGTCTGGCTCCAGGGGGGATGGTGGCGTTCCTTTGCAAGTCAGGGCAAGCTGACTCCTCATCCTAGAATGTATTTCCATCTGTTCAAGACTAATTTTGTGTCCTTCAGCGATGCGTCACAGTCTTGCTCACTTATCTTCTGGATATTTCTCACAGGTTTTGCTGATTTTCTCCATTCCCATAAAGACAGAAACTAAAGATAAAGACACGCCAGCCATGGCTGTACGCGTTTGCCTAGCTTTTGGTCAGTGACAAAGCCAGTGCGTTCAGCACCATGTCGGCGTGGTTTCTCCTCACACACACCCGCTCGATAGCACACACACTCTCAGTATTAAAGACAAGCCCATCAATTGCTTTTTTCTTGAGTGTTTTTAGCACGAAAGGGTGTCAGATCATTTTCAGAATCCTTTTCTCCGTCTACCGAGGTGACCACCTGCTTTTCTGCGCTAACCCTCAAATGCATTTGATCATATGGACAGACTTGCTTATAGACTGCCTGCTGCTTGCGACCTACAGGGGGCAACGTGCCCCAGAGGTGGGCTGCTGGCATGTGGTTTTCGCATCGATTGTAATGGTTTTTAGAGCAGTCTGCCATGTTCAGGAGCAACGCCATTCTCCATCAAACCAGCCTACAGTCTGGTCGTCTTTCCCTTGACTCGGGAGGCCAAGTCCTGGAGAATTCTGGGGTGTGGGCAGTGAGAGGATTCATCAGAGACAGAGAAGGGAGCAGCGATGGACCGCTGAGGGGAGCAGCAGGGAGACAGGAGAGGCCGGCTGCGCCCTGGGGTCACCCCCTGGTGGGGAGCCAGCTCAGGCCTTAGCGGTGGTAGCCTGAGACCTAACCCCTAGGCCACCAGGGAGGCCCCACGCACGTTTTAAAATGAAGCCAGGCTGGTGTTGGTTTGCCCACCTGCGTGCTGGCCAAGCCTGGGTTGACAAAGTCGGCAAATAAATTGGCCTCCGAGGCTTTTATATATTTGTGTGTGTGATTGTAGTCTTTATTAACTTTTCCCACTCTGCTTAAAATCTAGGAGGGTGCTTGATCCGCCCCAGAGGGCTGGTCTTTCCCAGGCGCTGTCTCCCAGCTTTCCCTGCGCCTCACCCCGCCCTCTGGTGGCGGACGCAGTCGCTACCACGGCCGCTCTGCTCGCGCAAGGGAAAATGGCGGCTTGCAAAACAGCAGCCGGCGGTGGCGCCGCCCCGGGAGCGCAGGGGTTAAGTGTCAGCACTACCAGGCCATTGCCGCGGCTCCAGCCGTTCCGGGCCAGGGGGTCCCCCAGAGCGCCGCAGACCTCTCCTGTCTCCCGCTGCCCCTTCAGCAGTGGATTCAGTGGATCTGCCTCTTGGCTCCCACCTCGGTCTCTGGGGAGTCCTTTCACTCCCCCCACCTCTGGCCTAAACCCCAGTTCTTGTAAGCATAAATAAACAAAACAAATCTTAAGAAAGATAGCAGGCAATGATAATGTTATACGATCACGAGCGCTTGAAGAGGGTGTCTGGTAAGAGGCTTCTCAGAGCGTCTGGAGACACTTGTTTCTGGTACCCCAGGGGCAGAGTGCTCAGCGCGTTTTCAGAGGTAAATCCGGCCCCCCTCTCTGCCTTTGGGGGCAACGGTGGTGAACGTGAGCATTAACCCCAGGGGCTCTAAGTCTGCGCCTCCACATGTAACAAGTTTCCATTTCTATGGAAATGAGTCCCCAAGGGTCCCGGGTCAGGAATGATGAACAAAAATTGTGCCCTCCGTTCCCTTCTGTCTGGTGACTGCAGGTCCCCACACCGCCGCCATCCATTTCTTTGGCTCTTTGTTTCTTGGTTTTACTATTTCTGAGCTCTTCCCGCGGCTTATCTAGTCGGCTGCTGTGGGAAGGAAAGGGAGTTGCAGCCGCAAAGGTAGGGAGTCCCAGGCCTTGAGACCAGGCCAGCTGAAACTGGAGCAGCGGGCACACGGCCTCCCAGAGAGCGCGTCAGGCCCACGGCGGCCACAGCCAGCAACAACCATGGACCTCAGCCAAGGGCAATGGCCTTGCTTCCCAGCCAACAGAGCGCCACTCCTTTGTCTCAAAGCCCGGTCCTCAGGCCCACACAGACACCTCCTAGCCCCTGCACCCCGGGAGCCTCGCCTGCAGAGGGGACTCCCTGGAGGTCTCCTTTCTTGCTCTTTAGCTAGTCGGTGATCGCTGAGCCTCTGTCCGCCCCCGCCCGGGCCTGGGGAGCCCTCGGTATTCCCCAGAGGGTCCTGCCCAGCTGGGGCGGCCCCTGCCCGCCCCCCGCCGCCCAGCAGGTGGCGCAGCGAACCGCGGCGGGTGGCTCCGGCGTCCCCGCCGGGACCCGGAGGCAGCTGGGGGCGCGGCTGAGGGCCTGCCGCCTCGTCCGTGGGCCAGAAGGTCCCCCTAACCCTGGGCCCCAGCCACGGGCCTCCTCCCCGGAACGGCCACCCGTGCTGCCCTCGTTCCCGCGCGTGATGCCGAGCTCGCGCAGGCAGCAGGGGGCGCTCTCCCTCCGCGCCTGGAGGCTCGCGGGGGCTCGGTCAGGCAGCGGCGTTTCCGCAGAGACCGCGGCCGGCTCTTTATAAGGGACTGGGGAATGGAGCATTTGGGGGATCAAATGGTACTTTATCAGTGACTCTACATCGGGGTTTCTGCACCTCAGCGCTGGTGATTTTCCAGGCTGGCCCAGTCTCTGCTGCTCGGTCTCTCTGGTCTCTCTGGGCACTGCGGGGTGCTGAGCAGCGCCCCTGCCCCCCCCCCCCCAACTCGCCAGCAGCTCCCCGTTCCTCAGTAGCGACAACTGCAAATGCCCAGAACAGGGGGCGATGCAAAGGATTCACAAAACAGGAATCCGGTGAAGGAGGAGGGAAAATGCCGGGAAGGAAAGCGCCGGACTGTAGACTACAGGCGGGGAAGAAGCCTCTTGAGCAAGGGGGCGCGAGCGCTCCGCACCCTCTTTTCACCCGGCGGGATGAAGAGGTGAAAGTAGAGGCAGAGAAACCGAAACTAGACCTACAGATAGGTTAATCGTTAAACCCGCTCCCAACCGGCGTCTTCTTCCTAAAGATTTTTATTCCATCATCCAGTCTACAGTGCCTTTACGAGAGAAACAATGACTTGTCTAATCACACAAAGCAGTCGTTACACCAAGTCGGTCGTAGGAAAATTAGAAAACGACGCTAAGCTAAAGAGAAGAGATTTTCCGACTCCCCCAAACCTGGTACCCAGTGTGGTACCCCAGTGAGGCTTCAGTGACTGTCCTGACTGTGTAGCTGTGGATACACACTGGCCCCGGGTGGAAGGCCCAGCACAGGTTTGGGGACAAGTGGAGGCTGTCTTGTGAGCACCAACACACAGAGACCTGACTTGGGGGGGCGCCCCCCCCCCCAGGCTGGCCCACACTTGCGCAAATCAGCAAACCATAGGCCCTGAAACACCTTGGGGCTCCTGGGAGGTGATGCTGTTTTCTCCTCCAGGAAGTCCTCCAGACAGTAGCGAGGGGGTTGCTACCTTGGGTCTGTGGAAGCGCCTGATCTCTTGCCATGGGCATGCCCGGGACTGGGATCCTCTCTTCTGCCCGTTTCTGAAGAGGCCCATCTGGTGGCTGGAATTGTTACAGGGTAGGGAGAGGGCAATGACTGCCGCTGAGGTCAACATTTTCCATGTAACCGTATTAGTCAGAAGCCTTTCATTGTCCCACTGTTGTTACACATCCTTTGTTTTCGGAGATTTAATTTTGACATCATA